CAAGCCCCCAACGTACTTCTGCATGCATACTTAGACGTAATCATAGTTCATATGAATCACACCGTTGTCTCCAGTCTCTAGAGCAGTAATTTCCACATGGTGATTCGCTGTTAGGTCTTGTCGTGCGGCTGAAAATTAAACAGGAGCTCTCAGAATCATCCGAGACGCCAGCAGATGTCTCACTCGTACTTGAGCCAAACAGATGGCATGATTGCTACCTGTTCTGATTTGGTGAACGTTTCTGGACTCGTTTTCTCAATGTTCACTGCATACCACCTTGTCGGTTAAACCATGTATGAAGTACCCGCAAACGCAAAATGGCTGTCAGTCAAGTTTGATTTGCTTGGTGTCGGCTGTTGTGGCGCCTCGAAGACCTCCGGATGCAGGCAAGTTCAACCGCCACATTCCTCTCAATCAGTGTCGACTGATATTCCCGCGGGACCAGCCGAAAGCTACCGAGTTTGCGCATTCCTGCAGTATTGTTCTGATGGTTTCATGTCTTCTCTAGTAAGTAGTCTACAATCTGTGCCACGTGGAATGGAAGGTGTCGAAAACTTAAGAAGACGGGTCTCCTCGAGATAAAAGTTACGACATCACCTATGCTTGTAGTATTGAACATCCAACTTGATCATTATGCGGCCTCTTGCTTTAGTGTCGATTTTGCTCACTGACCTTGTAGCAGTGAGCAGTGGATCATCTCTTTCTCCTAGAAGAGAGATACCATTGTGTCTGTGTGAAGACGAAGCATGGGATATCACCAGTCGATGGCTCAGTGTCTTCTCCACCCCTGGCGTTTCTAGCAAGGCGGAGCTGGCAACTATCGTTTCTCAAAATCTCACAAGCTACGACGATACATTCGGTCCTCCGACTATCGGGATTGATGGACTCTGGGCCGCCCTGACAGCAGGTGGTAACGCTACGACAGCCAACGTGACGCAGACGCCCAACTTTATCCTACATTCATGCGACCAGATTGCGTACAACTGGCAGTACACCGCCGTGACAACTGGCTATAACTCGTGAGTCTGAAGCTTTCACTTAACAGGCGGGGACAGAATGCTAACACTGCTCCAAGGACAGTACCGGTGGGAACTCCAGTTGCCTTCACCGGGAATGATATCATAAGGATTGATCTGGCGACCAGACTGGTGTCCAATGCCACGTCCGCTGGGAATTGGATCATACTCGCTCGCCAACTGGGAGATTCATGTAACGTTTAATGTGATTGTTCTCATCGATAGGAGGGTTTTCACTTCTCTGCCAAACGGCTCCTCCATATTCTGAGCCTGTTTTCGTCAAGTCTCACTCCATACTTGGAGTCATCGTGCAAAGCGATACTGAACAGACGTTTCAATTTTTTAAGATCAAAATAATATTCTTGAATATTGGAGAAGTATACATGTCGTGAATAAGAACTAGGCAAAGGTCTCAATAAGCGATGTCACGCGCTGACACTGAATGTTTTGACGATTGCTTTAATTCACCGACTCCGATTCACTCAGGTATGAAATAAAGCAAGTATAAAGGTTCAACGCACGACCATCTCTGCCCACAACAGGCAAAAGAAAAAGCATCAAGCGTTTCGAACCCGGTCGCGAAAATGAGTGCTCAGCTACCCGAATGGACTGATTTCGGCATTGGGAATGATCATACTCCTTGTCGTCTTCCTCAAAACCGCCAGCCTGACAATTCACCTCCTGCCTTTGAAGGAATTCAGACCTCTTCTAACCAAGATGAGTCTCAGCAAACCCCAATCATAGAATCGGTGACATTTGGCTTATCAACATGGCCCGATAGCGCAGCACCATACTTGGCACTCAACACAGACTGGCCATCAAACCCAGAGAGGAAGAGAATGGACATGGTCTATAAGATCCGCTACGGGACCAAGATGTACGAGTTAATCCTTTACTGGTACCCGCCTCCAGTTTCACGGTTTCCGGATAGTCGCAGAAGACGTGCAGAGCAGAGATATCTAGAGCACTTTGAAGATCTGTGGATGGAGTCTCCGACCCCTGAGGCTTCTCCCCACTTCCTTCCAGTGCTCAGACAGCTTGACGCTGCGATTATTCATACTATGATATCGCAAGAAATTCACTTGGAACAGTCAGATAGGCCCTGGAGGTGCCAGATCATTGACCAATTTGAAGACCCACACCCCCCAATGTATGCGATGGTATGGACTGAGGGATGGGCTGACTATCGTCGCCGGGAGGTTCTGGCGGTTGCAGTATATAACGGGTCGGACGTCCATATTATCCACGAGGACAGGCCTGCCCAGTGAGCCCAACAACTAGTATCAGTAAGTGAGGAACACCAATTTACTACTAGTAGGGATTCACAGTCTAAGGCAGTTCAATAGAAAGCATGCCAGGGTATTATGAAGCTGCAAGAAGCTCTGCTCATCTGAGCAGAAAAACCCCGAGGTCTCCAGGGGTATCACGTTAGAACATGATCATTGAACGTAAGTCAGAACGGGAACGTCTTGATAGGATCCGAGAAGATTGCTTGTATATATAATCGATAAACCATAACGCCATATACGCTGAGTATGCTACTTGATGCAATTCTCATTACCTGGCCATACTAGCCCATGCACCCCTGATATCAAACCTTCAACTCCCTGAACACCGCCTCAGAAAATGGGCGAGTCAGTCTCATCTACAATCTGAACCTTGATGCTGCCGTTCCTGTAGTCTGAAGCTAGCGTAAGGGCGTCGACAGCCTTCTCGAGAGGGAAAGTGTGAGAGATGAGGCTCTTGAGGTCAAGGATGCCGCTGCTCAGGCAAGCGATGCCCGCGGGCCACGTGTCACGGTATCTGTTGATGAACTCGAGCTTGATCTAGAGAAATCCCGTCAGTACCTGTCTCTGTTTGAAGTCTGTGTGTATGTTGTCCTACCTCAGCAAGAGAAATGTGCATGAATGGCAAGTTGTTCATAATCTCCCTTCCAACACCAATAACCATAACCGTACCACCGCGACGAACGGTAAAAGCAGCGGTGCAGATACTACTCTCGACACCGGTGCACTCAAGCACCGTTCTAGGCGCGCTATACTCGTCGTCGCCGAACAACTTGCGGATAGCCTTACCGTTGCCCTCGTTACCGAGCGCGGGGTCAATCTTGTACGTAATGACGCTAGGGACCAACGTCTTGGCGAAGGCGAGGCGGGAGGGCTCAATATCGGTGATGACAAGTGGGTGAGCGCCTGAGGCCCGCGCTGCGGCGAGGGTGACGAGACCGATGGGACCTGCACCGCATACGACGGCCCCGACGCCGAGGGAGAGGCCTGCGGTCCGAATGCCGTGCATACCGACGCTCAGGGGTTCGAGGAGGGCGCCTTCGGCGTAGGAGATGTTGTCGGGGAGCCTATCCCGAGTCCGGCGTTAGATACGTGTCTACATGTGTCCACTTGAGACTTCTTGCGAGGGTAAGCTGGACTTACTTGTGAAGCCACTTGGCCGGGTGGCACTTGTATCGCTGAATCGTGCCATGGTATGGGTAAACACCCGAGAACTGGACATCTTCGCAGAGATTGTACCGTCCGTCGATGCACAGGAAACATTCGCCGCAGGGCACGCCCGGCTCGATCGCGACGCGGTCGCCCGCCTTCAGGTTCTTGACACCCTCGCCGACGCGGATGACAACGCCTGCTGCCTCGTGGCCGATGATGCAGTCTCCCTCGAATACAAGCGTTCCGATGCGACCCGTTTTCCAGAAGTGGATGTCAGACCTGTAGAGCGTTTCAAAAGTCAGCTTTTGCCTTCAGGTTTCTTTTGCAACTGAACTTGAACTCTGGTCGAACCGAGGCGGGTTGCGCGTTTGACTCATATGAATGAGACTAGAAAGACTTACCCGCACACTCCGGTAGCCTTGACATGGACCAATGCCTCTCCTGCCTTTGGTGCGAGAACGGGTGCTTCCTCTGCCTTGAGCTGGTGATCGGCTGTGACTACCAGCGAAGGGTTCGGTAGCGGCGCCTTGATGGTTTCTTCCTTGGCAATGACGGTGGCAGCCTCGTGGTGACGGTGGTGGTTGTGCTGCTTCAACTCTGTCACGACAACGACGCCATTGGACTTTGTGGGCGCAACGCCATTAACTGGCGCCTCTGGCGAGGTCGTGGTGGCGACCATTCTGAAGGTGTCTGGCCTTCGGGAATAACACGAAAGGTAGATGACAGTGACTTGGGAGAAACGACCGCTTTTTCAAACAAATGGGCACCTATCGGCAAAGTAGCCACGATGTAGTTAGGATCAACACGGAAGAGAGAAACAAATGTTCAAGGACTGTCGCTGGAAGAAACGTGATGTGAAAGGGGAAACGGCTGGGCAATCGAATCTGACAGGATTCGTCGAGGAAGCGCTCCTATCCTATAACCCGCCATGCGTCCCGTCCCGTCAAACAATGATTATTTTTTCATCGTCGTGTGATACCCCCTCCGCCGGTAGCAATGTCCGAATTTCCAACAGCTCAACATAGCTAAGGGTCTGGGCAACATGCGGGGAATCGACCGAGCGACTAAGCATGCCTCTTCTGTCGAGCCTTGGTCGAGTCATTACCTGATTGGGAGATGCTAAGCACCATCCGGCAGTTCTAAATCAGTGCGCCGGGGAACATGCCGGCTGTGCGCGGTTTGTCCAGATGATTGGGTCCGGATTATGGGAAGCGGTTCAGCTTGTCACCACCCCGAAGCCGCCGAGTCCCGAGCCGTCATCGGTGCGGCAAATTTGATCAGGGTAGAGGAAATGGCTTCGATACAATATTGAAAAGTATCAGAGGTAGATCTGGCAAGTAATGGTTTTGGACATCTCTCGTTATAGCGTCGGTACACTGGGGTAGTTGTCACTTGGTCACAGGCACAAGGGAAATAGGGCGAATAAGGTCGTGATAGTTGAGGAATTCGTTTTCATTAATTCGTGTCATGTCTTGAGACCATCAATCCTATTCAAGCCTTTTTAAACCTAACCTCTCTAATAACGTGACTCTTAAAGACGCTTTGCTTATGCAAAGATGCGCAGAGGGCGCTGGGGCAGGTAGAAACCAGGGTCGTTGAAACGGAGACCACGGTCAAGGTCAGAGATGGACTCAATCTCCTCGGCAGTCAAGTCGAAGCCGTTAACCTCGAGATTCTGCTTCAGACGGTGCTGGCTATTGCTCTTGGGAATAACAGCGACGCCGCGCTGCGTAGCCCAGCGCAGCAGGACCTGCGCAGGGGTAACCTTGTACTTGTCCGCGATCGCCTTGATGGCATCGACCTCGAAGAGGCCCTGGGCGCCGGTGGCGCGCTTGTTGGAGATCTCGAGGAAGGATTGGGGGCCAAAGGAAGAGTAGGCCGTGACGGCGATCTTGTTCTCCTGGGCCATGGAGATGAGGTCGGGCTGGACGAGGTAAGGGTGGTGCTCGATCTGCAGGGCGGAGATGGGGTGACGGGCGTAGGACTGGATGTCGTAGAGGGACTGGGCCTGGAAGTTGGAGACGCCGATGGACTTTGCGATGCCCTCGTCTGCGATCTGCTCCATGCACTCCCAGGTCTCGCGGATGGGGACGTTGTCGGGCTCGACGATGGTCTGCGCGGAGTCCATCCACCAGCACTTTGTGTCTCAGAGTCAGCGAACCTTTGGTTAAAACGATGAAGGCATTCATGCACTTACAGGGTACTCGAGCTTGGAGGGCTCAATGTACTTGAGAGCAACGGGGAAGTGAATGAGGAACAGGTCAATGTAGTCCAGACCCCAGGTCTCGTTCTGCTTCTTCGCCATGGCGACAGCATGCTCCTTGCGGTGGTAGTTGTTCCACAGCTTGGTGGTGATGAAGATGTCCTCACGTTTTACCAGGCCGTCGGCAATGGCGCGGCGGACACCCTCACCGGCCTCCTTCTCATTCTGATAGTCGTAGGCGCCATCGAAGAGGCGGTAACCAGTCTTAATGGCCTAATTGGAGACATTCTCACGGATTAGAGAACATAGATACTTGTGTACAGAACTGAGCACTTGAGTGAAACTCACGTTGTAGACGGTATCGGCGCAGGTCTCGCGGGGAACTTTCCACAGACCGAAGCCCACGAGGGGCATCTCACGGCCGGAAGCGAGAGTGATGGTGTCCTTGCCCATTATGAAGATTTTGAAAAGGGGGTATAGATACTAGAGTGATAGGAAGAGAGGTTGCGTGATGAATGAAACGAGTTTACTCTAGAATGACGAGCTTTGAGTTCTAATATTCTCTGTCACAAGATTCTTGTTTTTCTTTCTTTCTGTACAACCCCGCCCTCACTTCAAATGCGCACATAACCCCGCCTCCGTCAGTACAGCGCCATCCCTTCGGCTGTTCTTCTGAGCATCATCATGGAGGGGTTGAGTCTGAGAGGTAAGGTGGTAGGGCTTACCGAATATGGCAATGTTAAGCACCCGCGATTCAGAAAAGGGCATGTATCCCCGCGCTTAGCGTCCCCCGGTTTGACTCGTGTTCGACGGGGTTCCACGAGGGGTTAGAAGCCCGCTTCAAGGAGACGAGCTTCTCTGCCGTCCACCTAATGATCAAATGGGAATTATGAGCTGAGTGTCGAGTAATTATTCGCACACAGACTCAAGGGATGTCAACGGATAGCATCGGAAGTTGTCCGGTAAGAGTAAACGCTAACCGTCAAGATTCGCAATGTATTATCCGTAGACTCATCTAACGTCGTCTCACTCGCCAAAGCTTGAGAATCATCTCATCAATGATCAAACCCCATGGATAATATCCACAAACAGCAATGTCCCTGCAAACGCTTATCCCGAACCGCACTCGCGTCAGCTGAACCCCGACTTGTCGCTGTAAAACCATCCTCCCCCTGTTCCACACACACCAACTTTATCCAGAGACTCCAGCGCAGCTCTTTCTTCCCCGTCCATGCTTCCAGAGTTTCTGGAGTCGAGCCCGTACCTCGGGAAACCCTCCACTATTTGTTGGGGACCTTTTCCGCCTTCCCAATCCGACAAAATTATCCCCTCCGGCCGCCGTTGTCCGTCCTCCAGCCATGGGCACACAACAAGCACCCCAAACATAGCAGCCGGTTGCGATAATGATGGATGATACAGATGCAGTATCAGCAAGCGGCTCTGGAGCTGGAGCTGGAGCTGGAGCTGGAGCTGGAGCTGGAGCTGGAGCTGGTCCAGGAGGTTCGAAACAGAGACACAAGAGGACTCGTACGGGGTGTATGAAGTGTCGGGTCCGACGGCGTAAATGTAAGCCTCTCTCGCTTTGTCCATATCTGCCTTCGTATTGCTCGTAAATGTCGTCTGAGACCCACTGAGATATCACCTCACCAAGCAGAGCTGGCATGACTTCGCATGACGCTGCAGGTTGTCTCTGTTTGCTCGGTGACGCTTCATCAAAGTTACCATGGACTTACTTTATTAACCAAACATAGGCGATGAAGGAAAGCCGCGATGTCAGCGCTGCATCGACGGAAACTTTGAGTGCCACTACGGCCCTAGACTAACGTTCTTGAATAAGAATGCCTTGACGGTGTCACCCTCGCCCAAGGTGCCCGATGCGACAACGCCAAAATACTCGCGCCTTCAGGTCCGTGATCTACTAGGAACCATCACTCAGCTGGATGTTTCTCAACTTACACGCAGATGTAGTTCGTAGGTGCCGGGTCCTCCAAGCAAGCCGCCAAAGACCCATCATTACATGCATCTTCTCCGCCGCACGAGCAACATGGAGTCAATGGCAACATCGCAAACGATCTGAACCTGAACCATGCATCTCTACCGCCACCGCCGCCGTCGCAAACACCAACGCCAACGGTGATAACCTTCCACGCAAATCCTCAACCCCCAGAACCGCCGCCAACGGCGACGACTAAACCACCGCCACTCGAGCCGAGCCTCACGCCCCTGAATCATCACCGCCAGCACCCACCGCTCACGCAATGGCGGCCCACCCAGAGTCTGAGCAGCCTCGGAAGTCACGAGAGCCTCTCGTCGCCGGTGCGCAATCTCGATATCACGGGGAAGCTGACAGGCCCATCGCCAAATAATGACGCTGCCTACGAGACGGCCCTGAATGTTCTCCTGTCGCTTGGAAACGAAGGACCGGCGGAGCTGGGCCAGTCGCCTGGTCACGGCTCGGGGTCCTTTGCGATTGGTGGTGGTGACAGTATCGGTGTGGTAAGTCCCGGAGAGATGATGTCGCTGTCGCCGAACTCCACGAGGGAGAGGAGAGGATCTGGCGTGTCTGCGGCCGGTAGCATATCACAAGATCGCCTGCTGCAGCTGTTGCGTCACTTTAGGTACCAGGTCGCGCCTTGGGTGAGTTCATCATCAAGCTTTAGTGTTTGAGCCTTTGGATGTTGGATTGCTAATGGTTATTTCGTAGCTTGACTTGTGTGATATGGGACAGACCTTTGGTCTTTACGTTTCTCGCCTTGCGATCGAATCTGAAGGGGTTCTTCACTCCCTTCTCGCCGTTGCTGCGACAGCACAGCAGGCCGATATGCGCATGGTGTCCGGCGATGTCGAATACCTCAAGTCTCTGGCTGAGGCGAAAGCTTTCCAGCCAAGCGGACCAGTCATCAGCGACAGCGATTTGGTTCATTTGACACTATCTACAGCATGCCGATTCATCTCTGACATCCCCAGCGGCTGGAACAGCCTGTCTGCTGTTATAAATCACAACTTTTGGGATGTGACACTAGCGGAAGCAACTCCAAAGACCATTGCGATATTATCAGTCTTGATTCGACTAGGTAGACTCACCGCTCCTACATTACTTTCCTACATCCCTTTCCTGATGGATAATCCACATCACAATTCACCAGAAGCTAACCAAATAGCAGAACTCGCCGCCGCCCTCGTAACCGGGGCCCCCATCTCCATCCCCGAACATCTTTCCTACAACCCAATCCCACAACAATGGAACTCCTCCACCATCGCAGAGACAATATTCCAATACACCATCGAACCCCTCCTCCTCTGCGCAAAAGTCGTAAACTTCTGCTCAGGCAGCTTTCCACCACAAACTCAAGCCGATCTCGACCTCGGCGGCGGCGTCCCACTCACACCCGTTCACCGCTGGACGATGCTCAGCGACGCCCTCGGGTCCTGGTACACCAACCGGGCGCAGGAGTTCCGCCCCATGGTGGAGATGGATGGCGGCGACGAGACGTTGTTCCCTGTCATACTCTTCACCAACGGCGCCGCCGTCTTTGCGAACCAGCTGTATCATACGGCCATGTTGTTGTTGCTTCAGAATAAGCCGCGGACGTTGCAGGCGGCGACGGCGGCGGGTAAGAAGTCGTCGTCGTCGTCGTCGTCTATGTCGCCGCTTTGGCATGCTCAGCGCGTCTGCGGGATCGCGCTGAATAATGACCGGAGAGATAGTTGGGATCTTTGCTTGGTCGCGTCGCTGTATCTGGCGGCCCAGCGGATGACGTACGAGCCTCAACAGAAGGCAATCATGGGGTGTTTTGATCGTATTAAGTCCATGACTGGCTGGGATGTCGATGGCTTCTCGACGAAAGTTCGAGAGGATTGGGGTTTGATGTAGATAATCACACTTTGTGGACGCTATCACACCACGTCGACCTCTAGCCAAGGTAACCATTACCACATAAGCAGTTGGAGTAATCATTATGATGATGAAAGTAAATCATCTAACCATGTCGGCGATCCGAAGTTCCTTGCGGACCTTGTAGCCCCAAGCGGCCTCCAGGTCGTCGATTCTCCAGCAGGTGCCCCATCCCGTCACAGCCTCGATGCTGCGGATGAGCTTTACAAGAAGAGCATGCTCCGACTTGTGACTGAGAAGTCGACCAGCGACCCAAAGGGGCTGGATGGCGTTATTCAAGCAGCCTTGGTGGGGGTTCGCGAGCGATATGCCACAGATGCATTTCGCGTGCCAGATGGCGGAGCCCGTAACACCGCCCAGCTTGAGGTTAAGCGGTCGCGGCATGGACCCGAGCAAGAGCGTACAGGCCGTGTGATACAGCTGGTTCGAAGAGATGGCCGCCCAGTGCAGGAACAGAATCTGAGGGAACGGGCTGCTCTGTATGCTCTGGACGGGCAGCAGCTCCGGCGGCCGGTCGCGTGTCCAGGCTTGGAGGTCTTCCCATAGGCGGATCCAGCGGTCGGTGAGCTCGTCGGTGCTGCTGCAGCCGGATACGTCGCCGAGCTCAAAGTAGCGCGTCCTGTCGGCGACGAGCTCGCAGACTTTGGCGCAGAGGTAGACCGCGTAGTTGGCGTGCATGTCGGGGGTTCCGGACTGGTGGAAGAGTTCGCTTGCTTCGTTGTGGGAGGCGCCGCTGGGAAGCCATTTCGAGGGGGTGAGAAGGGTGCTTTCTGTTCCATCCGAAATGAGGGCACCGCATAGGTCTGATGGGTGTGTTAGCAAGAGGATCCGTTTGTAGAAAGGGTATTAAGGGATAGACTGGGACACACCCATTCGTGCGTAGCACCAAAAGACGGCTTGAAGTAGACCGCCGCTGAAGCCGTGAACGTAGAACGATTCAAAGAGCGCGGCACACCCCTCGAGGTGTTTCCTCCAGTCTTGAGCACTGGCAGACATCATCTCGAGACAGCACAGAATTGTGCAGATGGGAATGATCTTTTGGTCTCGGGATTGCAGCAACGGCGTCAGTAGGCGGATGGCTTCCTGGTACAGCTCGAGGCTGTCAAACGACGTCTGCTTCCCCTCTTTTCGCTCCATCTGTCGCGCTGAGAGGGCAAGGACGGCGTAGAGGAGCGCAGGGGAGCTGCGGGCGAGGACGGGGACTTGTATGCCAAAAGCCCGGTCGCTGTCAAACATGTCGAGCTGTTGTAAATGATGAGCATTGGCAACGGTGTAGTGAAGAGGTGGAATGTGTTTGGAACTTACCCATGTCGCAACTTCACCGACGTAGTTCTTCAAATACTCTAACCTCCGACCTGTCCCCAGAATCTGGCCGGCCTGCCGTCGTGCGGCTCCCTCGTCGCCCAAGATAGTACCCGGCGCCGCGAAACCCCCAGCAGAAAAGCCGCCATCAGCTGCCTCTGGTGTCCCCTCCCGTGTGGGAGCTGCCGTTTGCGCCGTGTTGAAGATGAGGCATCTCAGCTCCTCTTGGTAGGCGAGGTACCCGGGGTCGGTGACGAACTCATCCAGCCTCCACGACTCGGCCGGCGACGTTGATGCTTCGGATGAGAGATGGTGTGAGGGTGTTGGCTCGCCGAGGCCCCATGTTGACGAAGCGGCTGGGGTCACGGCTGAGCCGAAGTGAGAGAATGCTTGGGATTGGGAGTGAGATCGGGCATGAGAACGCGAGTGAGTCTGAGACTGAGGCTGTGAGTGAGATTGAGATTGGGAGTGAGATTGTGACTGAGACTGAGACTGAGACTGAGAGCCTGTTTTTTCTACCCGGTCAAGGGGTGCCGCGGTTGATTCGTCATCGTTAGCCATAGGCGAGAGCATGTTAAATTCGCAGCTGACGGTGTATGTGCAACTGCTGGCAGACTATGTAGTTTCAGTCTTGACAACATGAAAGTGACGCTCAACTCAAGTATCGTGAAATCGGCCAAAGCCCACCTCATGGATCGGAAGGTTTCGGTAGGTCATGCGGGAGGAGGAAAAAGACTGGATCTCCTCTTCACCTGTGACCTCCTCTGGGTTCTCTCCGGCGTTGCTCCCATCGAAAATTGCCCGACTAGCGGATTTCGGATGTTGCTGGCATCCAATGGCCAAGTGCGCCGAACCCTGGGGGGGAGATGGGCGTATTGGTTGCTGCGGGGAACCCAAGTTAGCGGAACTTGCGGGGAAGTTAGCCGCTGATGATTGGCCTTTGGGGGGGTTAGAAAGGGGGTGTTTGTTTGCGTTCAAGTGTTCAGGGACGGACCTAGACCGACTCCTCGGTAAGGAAGGGCCACCGAGAGGCTGCCTAGGTGAGTATCGGTGAGAGATGCTGACACGAAGAGCCTGTCTTCCGTAACGACGGCATATTGGGCAGCTCCAACGCAGTGTTAGGAGAAGCTTGGGACTACTTGTCGCTATTCTTCTTGCCGCACCATGGAACGACTCAAGTCGGCTTCACATTATACCCAGATGTCCTTGTTTGGCGTGGCCTCGTAAGAGAATAAGGTGAAAGGAGTTTCCCTCGTAAGAGAACCCACTCAGACGGGCAGGGCATTTGTGACCTCTTTCAGAGACTCTCTTCTAAGTTTTGAGACTGGCTAGCCAACTGTGTCTTATGGGCGAGTCGAGGGAGAATGTTGTGGCACCGGCCGGCGCATTGTGCTCTTCGGCCTCAACTTTACCGGCACGGCGGGGCCAGGACCTCGGGGTTTCGGTGCTGATGTCACCGGCCGCGGGGTTCGATGGACTCTTGAGTCAAAAAGGGAAGCCGAAGCCACGAGCCGATCTCCGGGGACCATGGATCATGTTAAACATCGTTTACTCCTTGGCGGGACCCTGCAGGAGAAGTAGCTGACGAAGAGCTAGGGGAATAATTCTGGCTGATTTAAACCTGTTGTGTCCCTAAATATCGAGTACATGCATTCGCACCATTTACCGACACTGCAAAGATGGCACAACTCAAAATCAAGTCTTTGAAATTCGAGCACCATCCCACTGGACTAGGTGTCTCTTCTCCGACTCCTCGCATCTCATGGCGTGTGGATTCAGAGCCTATAGCGAAGAATTGGCAGCAGACATCATACGCCATCAAAATCTCACGTGGCTCTGCGCCGGCTCAGGAATTCCGCATCGAGAGCGCTTCAACGATACTGGTTCCATGGCCCGACACTCCTTTAGCATCGGGAGAAAGGGCCACAGTCGTCATCAGATCGCACGGAACCTCTGACAATGCCCAATTAGACTCTGGATGGTCCCCGGAAGCAACCGTAGAAGCCGCTCTTCTTTCCCGGGACGACTGGAAAGCTTCGCCCATCACCGCGCCCTCGCGGGCCACTTCACATCCAGACGAGCGTGGAATCCGGCCGGTCCGATTCCGCAAAGTCTTTGACTGCCCCGATGTGAAAGGCGGTGGTAATACCAAACTCTACATCACTGCACTAGGCTTATACGAAGCGTACCTAAACGGCCACCGCATTGGGGATGAGTGGCTCGCTCCCGGCTGGACTGCTTACCAACATCGCATCCAGTACCAGGTCTTCGATGTAGCGTATCTCTTAAAGCCTGGTCAACGGAACGTTCTCACAGTGGAAGTCAGCGAAGGGTGGTATGCGGGCCGAATTCTCTGGGGTGAGGGCCTGACCTGCTTCTACGGCGACCGCATCGGCGTACTAGCTCAACTCGAGATCCGCGACGACGATACGACAGAGCTAGCTTTGAAGCTTTTGACGGACGATTCATGGGAGTGCCGGCCCTCACCAATCGTGGGAAGCGACATCTACGACGGTGAGACGTACGATCTCGGCCTCGAAGTTGACGACTGGCATCACAACGACCACAGCGAATGGACTCCTGCAGAGACGCTACCGTTCCCCAAGTCCACCCTCATAGCAGCATCTTGCCCACCAGTCCGAACCACGCAGACCGTCAAACCCATCAAAGTCTTCAAAGACATCAATGGCAAGACACTTGTCGACTTTGGTCAGAATTTCGTTGGCAAAATCGTCATCCCAAAGCTCGCAAAGCCAGACGGCCACCGCCTCACCATCCGCCACGCAGAGGTCCTCGAAAATGGCCAGCTCGGAACGCGACCCCTCCGTGCCGCAAGGGCGACCGATACGACCATCTTCGGTGGCAGTCGAGTCCTAGAGAATTGGTCCCCTCATTTCACCTACCACGGCTTCCGCTACGTCGAGCTGGACGGCTGGGACGATGTGACCTTGGACTCACTCTCCGCGGTCGTCATGCACACCGACATGCGGCGAACAGGCTTCTTCTCCTGCTCCAACGACGACGTCAACGCGCTACACCGCAACGTCGTCTGGAGCATGCGCGGGAACTTCATCTCTATCCCTACGGATTGTCCGCAGCGCGACGAGCGACTAGGCTGGACGGGCGATATCCAGATCTTTAGCCCGACGGCCTCATTCCTGTACGATTGTGTTGGTTTGCTGAGCAACTGGATGCGAGACGTGCTTCTGGACCAGAAGGACGCCGGCGGTATTGTCCCGCTCGTGGTGCCCAATGTTATGAAGGACGGGCCCTGGCCTTCTGTGCCGCAGGCTGTGTGGGATGATGTTATTGTACTGCTGCCTTGGACTTTGTATAAGTGGTTTGGTGACGCGGGCGTCTTGCAAGAGACGTATCCTGGTATGAGGGACTACCTCAAGTCCATCAAACGTGGGGATGACGGTCTATGGGATCCTTCGCTCTGGCAGTTGGGCGACTGGCTTGATCCCAATGCGCCGCCCGCCGAGCCAGGTCTAGCTAGGACGGATGGCACCCTCGTTGCGGACGCGTATCTAGTTCACGTCACAGGCATCGTCTCCCAGATTGCCAGCATCATCCATCTTCCATCAGAGGCTGAGGAACTCGCTAGTGAGCACAAACGCCTCAAGCAGCTCTTCCAGGACAAGTACATTACCAAAGTGGGCTTCATCGTCGCGGATTCCCAGACGGCGCTGGCTCTGGCCCTACTCTTCGACTTACACAACAACACCGCCCAGCGCGAAGCCGCAGCCGCAAGACTCGCGCGGCTGGTGCAGTATTCCAAGTTCAGAGTCTCCACTGGCTTCGCCGGCACGCCTGTAATCTTGCATGCATTGTCAGAGACGGGATACGTTCAGCACGCATATCGCATGCTGCTAGAGACGGGATGTCCCTCGTGGCTGTACCCTATCCGCATGGGCGCCACCACTGTCTGGGAGAGGTGGGATAGCATGCTGGAGGACGGAACGATTAACCCAGGCGAGATGACGAGTTTCAACCACTACGCACTCGGCAGCGTCGCGAACTGGATGCATGCCGGTATTGGGGGGCTATCGCCGCTTGAGGCCGGGTGGAAGAGGTTCCAGGTTCGGCCTCGGCCGGGAGGGGACCTGCGACACGCCAGCGTCGAGTACCTGAGCCCGCACGGCTTGGTCCGGAGTCAGTGGGAGATTGAGGCGGATGGGAGGTTTGTTTTGGAGCTGACGGTGCCGTTGAATACGTCTGCTGTGGTTTCTTTGCCGGATGGTGGGGAGGAGAGGACGGTCGGGTCTGGGAGTTATGTGTTTGAGAGCCGTCTTGCTCCGGCATTGAGGGAGGCGTGGCCACCCAAAGCTTTGTTAACGCAGTTTGGACTGTGATGTCGTTTGAGTTAACAATGTTGGCTTTGAAGTGCCTCTGATGAGAGCCTCGGTGGGTTTGCAATTTGCAACACAAATTTCGACATGCCTAAATCTTGAGCTTGCCGTATTGTAAGCCGGGCTGCTAGTTGGCCCGCGTATTACTTGAACACTTTGTGACTGGACGTAATTCATAGTAACCTCCAGTACAAGACATTTTGGTTGCCACAAGAACACTAAACGCTTAGTGCTTTCAGTACTCATTTCCATAAGACTTTATCTATAAGTATCAACTATCTTTGCACTCCATTCTTGTAACATTGCCATACCCGGGGCTGTAGAACTCTCTTGAAGCTCGTCTTACAAATGTCTGTTCAGGTGGCCTGTCGTTTTGTTGCTGTAGAAACCTTGACTTGGGGCTGTGACCACCGCATAACGCACCCACGCAAAGGGACTTTGGGAACTTTGGAGACTTTGAGTAGGGGACTTTTGCGACGGACCCCTGCTATCTCTGACTCCGACCGTCTGACGGATCTCCGTGCCGTAGAATTGCATCATTGCGGCCGCTGGTGACCTTCCGAGCTCGGTTACTCGCTGACGACTTGCTCATTTTTCTGGTAAATCAAACCTTACCCTTCTCCCTCTTCTTCTATACCATAGAGTATTTCTCTCTCTGCGAGTCCCTCCATCGACATTGCCCATCTGTGAAGCTGCCCGTCATGCGCTACTCCCTGTCAGCCAAGCTGCTCCTCCTGCTGGGCTCCTCTCAGCTCGTGCTCAGCTCCCACGAAGACCAGCGCGTACTCGCTCCCGCTACTGAATCGACGATTAACGATGATGCCGCGACCTTGGGCTGGGACAAGGCCCCCATGTTCACGACGGAGAACAAAGACGCAATCGTCGCGGCGCTCAAGAAATATGATGACCCTGTCGACGCCTTCGTCTCTCTCCAACCCGATATGGCGGACACGCTTGCCGAGCCGAGACTCATCCACGTTCATGGCGAGAAAATGGCGGAATGGATGACCGAGGGCGATAAGCTTCGTCTGCGGCGCAAGGGAAGAAAGTTCCGCGACATCACTGATTTCCAGGAGCTCTACGCCGACCACGTCAATACCTTTGCAGGCAAAGCCAGTAAGTCCAAATCATAGTGCCCGTCGAGATTGCTTCTCGTAGAATACAGACAGCTGACATCGTCACAACCACAGACCTTCCCAAGATCACCCACCAAAGCCTCATCAAGCCACTCTTCCCGAAGGTCAACCAGACAAACATGCACAACGTCCTCAAGCATATGACGAGCTACTACAACAGATACTACGGCGGCGTCACCGGTGAGGAGAGCTCCGTCTGGCTGCACGACCACGTCGCCTCCATCATCGCCCAGTCGCCCTTCCACGCCCACATCTCGCTCGAGTACTTCACCCACGAGTTCCCGCAGTCCTCCATCATCGCCCGCTTCGAGCCCAAGGTTCGCGACTTCTCCAAGCCCCTAACCATTATCGGCGCCCACCAGGACTCAGCAAACTACCTCTTTCCTTTGCTTCCCGCCCCCGGCGCCGACGACGACTGCTCCGGCACTGTGAGCATCCTCGAGGCCTTCCGCGTTCTCGCGACGAGCGGCTACGTGCCCAAGGAGGGCCCCGTCGAGTTCCACTGGTACGCGGCCGAGGAGGGCGGGTTGCTGGGCAGCCAGGCCGTCGCAGCCTACAAAAAGAAGGAGGGCGCGAATATCGGCGCCATGATGGAGTTCGACATGACGGCTTTTATTGCGCGCAATGCCACCGAGTCCATTGGCTTCATCAAGACGGACGCGGATGCGCCGTTGACCAAGTGGGCTGTGGACCTGAGCGAGGAGTACATCAACATCACGACGAGCGTCTACGAGCTCATGCCCGGCGCCGGGTCGGATTACATGTCGTACACCAAGCTCGGGTTCCCTGCTACGTTTGCGTCCGAGGGAAACCCTGTTGCGGGCGGGTTCCCTGGCGAGTTTGACCCGTATGTGCACACGGAAAAGGACACCATGGATGTTGACGATGAGACGGGTGTGTTTTCTATTGATCACATGGCGAGGTTCTCTGAGCTGGCCATTGCCTTTGCTATTGAGCAGGCTGGGTGGGATAACAAGTGGAGGTAAATGGCGGTCGTGACGAGTACCATAGATTGATGCTGGCGATGATGTTCTCATGAAAGTGTTGCGTTGCATGGAGCCCTTCTGGGGGTCACGTCAGGCGCGGAGTAGTTCAAGCAAGTTCAATGACGACCGCTGATTTACTGTTCAACGTACGGGAACCTTCGAAGTTTGAGGAAGCCAATTCCGCATACCGCATCGCGACCAGTCCCTCATCGCATTCCGAGCCAGTTCCGAAAAGCTCTCACCCACCCAGCTTGTCAAGACCCTTAACTGATGGCGTCAACAACAGCTGGAATATGCATAACGCGATCGATGACAAATTGCGGGGGACTCAATGACAAAGTGCGGAGACAAACAGCGCCTTCGGCTCCCACATGCAATTGCTAGCTGACCAAGACAAGCTGAAGAATCCCATGAAGTGAATCTGTCTTCTCTCTCGCTTTTTGAGCTTACCTAGTAACGTAATATTGCAAAATTCAAGAATTCAACGGTTCTGGCAACTCTAGATTCATACTAAACGTCAGCGACTCACCTAAACGATGGCCTCAGCAACATCCTTCCGCCAAATCGTCGGCGCCCCGCCCTCGACGGCCTCACCCACCGACAGCACCCTCATCATCATCGACGCCCAAAACGAGTATGCAGAAGGCAAGCTCGCCGTCCGGGACGTCACCTCCTCGCGCAAGGCCATCGCCGCCCTGCTGCAGAAGTACCGCGACGCCGGTCAGCCCAGCAGCATCGTGCACGTCGTCCACGACACGCCCGAAGGCGCTCCCCTCTTTACGCGCGGAACCAAGCTGGCCGAAGAGTTCGACGAGCTGAAGCCTAGGGATGGTGAAAAGGTTGTGAGGAAGCAGTTCCCTGGTTCCTTTGCGGGGACGGATTTGCAGGCGCATTTGGAGAGTTTGGGAGCGAGGGGCAAGAAGGTTGTGTTGACTGGGTACATGGTAAGTTTGGCCTATTTCACATGCGGAATATTGAACTCTCCAGAATCAAGAAGAAGAGTCCTCCTTGTTCGATTGCTGATGTATGATTTATAAGGCTCACGTTTGCGTGTCTACTACCGCGAGACAAGCTGACCAGCGTGGGTTTGACGTTCTGGTAGCTGAGGATGCGGTCGGCGACCGTGATATTCCTGGCGTCGATGCGGCGCAGCTCGTCAAGGTTGCTTTGAGTGAGATTGGTGATGCTTTTGGTACCATTGTGCAGAGCAAGGACATTGCTTAAGCTAGTCTTGTTGAAGAAACGCAGTCTAATATGAGTTCTTTTGGGTCAACTTGAATGTTACTTTGCCCACGATTACACCTTACTTGCAGTGCGTCTGGAAAAGACACAACCAAATACATTATTACAGACCAGCAGTACGAGCAACGATTGGGCAGTAAACACTCCAATAAAGTACGTTTATGTAAATAGCCGCAATTCAAATTTCTCATAGATATCGTTTTCGACAGCAACTCTTACAGAGGACCTCGTTCAACCCGTTCCATTCACTCCTATACTAATGTAAATAGAACCCTTCTGTCAGCGCCCGACGGTGGCCACTCCGGTTTGCCTCCCCTTCCTCCCCTTCCTCCCCTTCCTCCCTATCTGAAGCTTGAACCTCTGCACCGGGTCCCGGCCATGTGGATCTCAATGTGCATCGAGAAAACATATCGATACCTAGCTCAGGATCTCCGGATCAGAAACATCAAACCATCCAATTCCAGATCCAAAGCTGAAATCGCCGATTGGCGGCGTCATAGTGCGGAGAAAACGGCACCATGCCATCGAGGCCCTGACGATCGGCGAGGCGTACTTAGAGCTCTTGAAGCCCACTAAAGAGGCACAGCAACCGCTACTAATTCCAATACTGACGGGACATTGGTTGCGCTTTTGAGGAACAAACAATGGAGTGCCGAGAAAGAGCTACGAGAGCCCACAGGAACCCCATCGTTGCAGGGCCGCGCAGCTAACCGACTTGGCGAAGAACGAATTCATAGCCCAAAGAGGCATCAGTGTCGTCACCATTCTGTGCTGCTCAGCTGGAGCAAGTTGCTGGGCTCTCTTTGTTCCACTGAATTGCTCGAATACTTACAAAGTTGCAAGGGCAATGCAGCGGGTTTGGCAGCCTGGGATTCGGACCTCGGAGAACTGAGTTCTGCGAGCGAAGCATTGGCGCGCTCATCATCATATGAGAAAACTGTTGCTCTTGCCTTGGGACAACCCTACGATGAAGGATGAATTGGATAAAAGGGATCGGGAGCCGCACAATGGAATGAGTCCGCGATGGCATCATTTTATCATTGCGACCCTAGATCAAGTACCAAACATTGTTCGCGACGGCCAGAGTTATTAGACTTGTCTCTACTTATTAGACATCTTTCCCCCACGAAGCCATCACGATGAGACCGTCCATCCTCTCCGCGGTCCTTTCCTGGGCAACCGTCGCGTCCGCCGTCGCAGTCACAAATGATACCTCGCCCTCCCCCAGCATCCCCAACGTCGTCCAGTCCACCTGGGACGGGAAATGCTTCTACCCTACGCCCGATGCCGCCTTTGACCTAGAGTCCTACCTGGGCCGTTGGTACCAGGTCGCCGGCACCGTTGCGCCCTTTACCGCCGGCTGCAAGTGCATCTTTGCGCAGTACTCTCTCAACGTGCGCACACACTCTTCGTCATCCCGAGGCACTCGGATACATGTCTCTGGGAGCATATGTGATGGGCTAACACTTATTCGTTACTCAGGATAACGGCACCGTCAAGGTGAACAACACCTGCGAAGCGGGGGGCCGCGCCATCAACATCCTGGGCACCGCCGCGCCGGCCGATCCTTCGTACGGGGCCAAGGGCGTCCTTCGCGTCCAGTTCCCCGGTCAGCCCGGTCCCGACTGCGCCGGTCCGAATTACATTGTTCAAGGTACGCGCAATGCACCCCCCATGAGTGAGGGAGGGCGAACTCAGGCACGGAGCTGCTCTTCCATGCCGGGGCCGAAACCTTGTCAAGGTACTTCAAGCTGACAGTGTGATCCTCTTTCCACAGACTACACCCCAGACTTTGCGCTCGTGCAGGCCAGCAACTTTACAACGCTGTTCGTGCTCAGTCGCCAGCGGAATCCAGAGGACGCGGTTCTCGATGTAAGCCTTTCCTCTCTTTTCTCTCTTCCGTGAAGTGCAATGGAATGGAATGGTACATATAAACGGATAGGAAAATGTTCTGCAAGCGTTGCGCCTAGTAACAGTAAGCGCATGCATTGCTAACGAAACAAATTCTCCACAGGCCTGGATCGCGCGTGCCGGCCAGCTCGGCTCGAACCTCGCAGACGTTGTCAAGACGGATCAAACCGGTTGCCAGTTCGCATGAGACATGGGGAATGCGCCAAACGCTGCATCTGGAGATCGCGAAGAATCTGTGCCTGGCGCTTGGCCAGGAACGGAAGAATTGAGGTGAGAGTCTTCGAGTGTCCAAGAGCGGTCTTTGGTGCCAAAGGTAAAATAGTGGTATTTCTACAAAAACAGACAAAAAATTCCATGCAACTGCCGGATGTCTTGTGTCAGTGTCAATGTCAGTATCGCAGCCGGTGACTTTCGCAAGCGGCATCATAAACCGGGGGAACTGAGAAGTGAGAACTGACTGTATGAGCTCAGACCTTAATGGTGAAGCAGACACAAGTCAGAGCTCATAATCGAGGAGACCAAATCATTGGTCAATGGAAGTAGATCTCACGGCAAGCCTCCGGAGCTACAGCTCAGCTCTCAGCTCTCAGCTATCAGCCCACCTTTAAACTTTGGAGCTTGGAGCTGTAGCTTCGACACCATGAGCCAGCCATAAGCTTCAATGACTTTTCCCCTATGTTGCACCAGTGCGACCGCCAGACGCGCCCACGGCGTAAGTTGTGCCACTTATGCAAGGGGTTTCTATGACGACACCACCCTCAGCTTGAGACATCATGACGAATGTGGCCGCGTCCGGCCTGTGTTTGTGTGAACGCATCTGTGGGCACCCTTTAATTGTGGAAAAGCAGCAAGAAAAGGAAATGGGAAAGGCTGGGCCTGAGCTCTAGGACTGAGAGCGGAGGTGAAGGACGGGGATGATGATGAATGAGGTAAGTGAATTGAGTTTGATTCAAATAGCTCTTGGGTCCTCCTTGCGAGGGGCGCCTTGTCTATGAGTGTCCTTACTACTACTGCTATGTGAAATCGATCATTATTATCCTACGAAACTTTGAAAAGTAGCTGCATCCCTACCTCGAGTGTTGTACTACCCATCAATCCCTTCCAACCAAGTATACTACAACCGCCACAATGGTCAAGGCCAAGGAAGAGGTTATTTCCGAATTCAACGAGTACGTCAACATGACAGCCGAGGACCTTGAGTCCTGGCTCAAGTCAGATGACTCCAACAGCGCGGGTTGGCCCAAGGACGACGCTGAGGGGGAGGGCGAGTCGGTCGGACATGACAGCGGGCGCAAGATTGTCGAGATCCTCCAGGCGAACCCCGACAAGAAGGAGGACGAGTACACGGATGAGCAGGTTGAGCACATGCGCAAGGTCGTGGCGTACTGGTGAGTATATTTGCGATGGAGAAAGGGTGAAGTGTGAGACGTCTTGGAAAGCTAATCAGTGATACGACAATAGCAAGCGTCACTTGGCGCAAGAGTCCAAGTCGAATAGTGATAAGTCGCCCGAGGAGGTGAAGAAGACCAAATCGTATGCTTCACTGAAGAACTGGGGACACGACTTCCTCAAGGCCCAGGGCAAAGAGAATGGCGCTTCAAAGTCGAATGGAAAGTCCACCAAGAAGGAAGAGAATGGCGACGAGGGAAAGGCCGAGTCGAATGGGTCTAACAAGCAAAACGGGTCTAAGAAGGAAGAGGAAGAGGCCGAAGATGACAAGGAAGAGGAGGCTGCTGAAGAAGACGCCCAGGACGAGAGCGAAGAGAAGGCCGGTGACAAGCGCAAGAATGCCAGCGAGGAGAACGGATCCGGCAAGAAGCGACAGACGCGCCAGGGCGAGGGCAAGTCGACTGAAAAGTCGGATGAGAAGAATGGAGATGAAGACAAGGAAGAAGAGGTCGAGGAGAAGGACGAGGACGGCGACGAGGAGATGGAGGACGAAGGCGAGGAAGGTGACGACAAGGAGAATGGCGGCGGGAAGGCCAAGAAGGGACCCAAGAAGGGCGACACCGTCAGCTGGAACTGGGGCAGTGGTCAACCCGAGGGCAAGGTCCTTGACGTGAAGGGCGAGAAGTAAGTGAATCAAGTTGTCACAGTCACAATGAAGAGAGGACTAACGCGGTACTTGACAGGACGTCCATCACCACGAAACGCGGAAATGAAGTGTCTCGCGATGGAGACCCCGAGGATCCGGCTGTTGTTATTGATACTGGAAAGTCGAAAGCAATCAAGTCTGCTCACGAATTGAATGAGTAGTTATGGTTATGGAGCTGTAGAGAAAGCGTAGTTCTTCGCCGCGATCGATTTGCTAAGCATGTATCGAGGCGTCGTGTAGTGTTATTGTTTAGTTTACCATTGCTTTGATCTGAAGTCACGGCGATGTGAAGAAATGAAACCCGATCATAAATGCAATGTTATACTTTTATACTCCTATACAGCATTTTACATGGCGTACATAACCCATCTTACAATTCCTCCACTCTCTCCGACTGCGAGGAACCTGTATCCTTCTGAAACTTGGTGATGGGATCCTTCTCTGCCTCCTTCACCTGGTTCCAGAACTTCTCACCATTCTCCTTATCATCCTTGAACAGGTGATCAATCACCAGCTTCTTAGGCGTCTCACCCATCCACTGAAAGAGAGAGAAATCGCGGAACTCATCAGCCCTGAAGATCTCGAGCATCTCAATGGGCTCATCGCCGATATTCTCGACAAAGTGACCCATGTTCTTGGGCACAATACCGACATCGCCGGGGACGTAATCGAAAGTGCGAGCGGTACCCTCAGCCGCAAAGATTGTAATACGGGCCCGACCCTTGATGAAAAATGACCACTCGTCAGCATTGGGATGCCAGTGCATCTCGCGCAGCGCGCCCGGCTGAATGGTGAGGTGAGCGGCAGCAACCTGTGAGAAGCATCACTGTCAGTCCTTAAACATCCATAGAGGCGCGTCGAGGTTTTAGTATCTTACAGTCTTGGAGATGGGAAAGTTCTTGGAGTCGGTGATGCGGACCTCGCCGCCCGACGTCTGCTCGGGCTCCTGGTCGAGCATCCTGTGGGTGAAGTTGAAGCGGGACTTCTTGGCGTGCTTGCCCTTGGGCCGTTCCTCGTCAATAGGGCCCGGGAGCGTGCCCTGGAAGATGTATTTCTCGCCCTCGGGTAGGTGTTTGAACACTTCGGGCTCGAGGTGGAAGTTCTCGGCAATGACTGACTTGGGGGTGTGCGCAAGCCAATCTGACAGAATAAAGGTTGATTCCTCAGAGAAACGGCCATCGTCGAAGATGAGGAGGAACTCGGTGCCATTAGGACTCAGTCCTTGCAGGGAGTGAGGGACGCCTGACGGGAAGTACCAGAGGTCTATTGAGAAGCAAATATTAGCCTTCCTTGCCCTTATCGCATGATCAATGTTGAAAAACAGCGTCAAGCAATCGGAAAGGATATGGAGGTAATGTGCCTACCGCCCTTCTTGAGGTCGTCAATAAAGTTGCCGCCCTCGTAGTCGAGAGCCGTAACGCGGACCTCGCCGTCCAAGACGTACGCCCATTCAGCCTCCTTGTGCCAGTGAAGCTCTCGGATGACGCCCTCCCCAAGACGCATGTTCACGCCGGCGAGCTCGACACTGGTGGACAACTCGCGGACAGTCGTCTGTCGGGTCCAACCGCCTTCCTGTCATTTGGCAGATGGTGTTAGTCTGGTAAGGATGGGGGCATGCGTGGTGGCTGCAATGCCGCTCTGCTAGTTCCATTGGCTCCGAACCACTGAGTGCTCACCTCAATTCGAATATGCGAATCCGCAAAACTCCAGCGCATGTTGGGCATGTTTCCCTTGTCCGTTGAAGGCGGCCGCACCATATCCGGGTTCTGACGCGAGCGCTCGCTGTTCCAGGGCCCCAGCACTGAGGCGCCGAGGCCGTTGCGGTAGGGAAGCGGGTCGAGGCCGTCGCCGACCGAGTCGACAGCGCCGTCATTGGGATCCCTGAAGCCCGGGACGTACGGGTTGCTAGTGCTCTTCTTCTTGTAGCTCGCGGGGATGTCCATGCCCCGGAGAAGACGCTCACGGGGGCTGTCAAAGTGCGGTGCCGCCGAGCACAGCTCGCTGGCTGACGCCCAGAGAAGCAACAGCTTGGCTGCCGTGGGTTGGGTGAGATGCATGCTGGGCCAAGAGTTTATGGTGATGGGGATCGTTGCGATGGGACTGGGGGGACGCGATGTGCCAAGATGGTAGCTCGAAGAAGAGAAGGGGAATGGGGTCAATTGGGTCTACAATTGACGTTTCTCCTTCTTCAATGGCTAAGAATAAGACACAGGGAGGAAAGTCTTCAAGAACCAGGACGTCCAGCTCGTGACACTGGGAGCCAGAGGCTATTTTATACCCCCTTTCTAAAGCTCATCATCCGACTTAGCCATGCCAATACCAATGCCTTGACCTCTTCCTCGGCCTCGCCAATGTCGCAACCAAGTCGTAGTACGTAAACATGGGGAGCTTACGAAGGGAACCATCTCTCTGTCGTAGTCATCGGCGCATCACCTCACCCGCCCATCGCTGCAGTCTGCAGGTTGAACCGAACAGTGGCACACACCAGACACCAAGATTACACGTCTGCTACACACCCACCAATCCGTCGACGCACATGCCGAACCACCCCCGAGACCCAAGCTCCCCCGCAGCTGTAGCAACAATGGCAATGTAGTAAGGTACCTCGCCGAACCAAGCAGCTTCGAGAGCTGGCGCTGCTGCTGCTGCACGCCACCTTGCATGGAATGTTCAACAAGAGCTCCCCCTCACTGGCTGAAACGCGGCAGAGCGATGGGCGTGGTACATCTTGCCCATGCGGGGATGAACCAGTCAACATGCCTCCCCAGTGATAGCCGGCGTACCAGGAGAACAGAGGAACGCCTGCCGTAGGCCAGGGCCAGGGCCAGGGAGGGGAGAGGAGAGGAGGAGTAACGGACTATTCCCTAGTCTATTCTGAGAAACTGGACGCACTGAGGTGGCCTGGCGTTTAAGCTCGTCACCTAACGGAACCCAATTGGCCTTTCAGGTGAGCTGCGGAAGCTCTTCTCCATCGTTCGCTGCGACGTTGGCGGGATGTCTGCAGCAGGCCATGGCCATGACGCAGGTTCCTGCGGCTTGAGCTCTACTCCCAATGCAACTCCAATGCATCTCCAGAACCATCGATTGGACGGGGCATATGTCGGAGATCCTGGAGAAGAAGCTGGTTCCGCGGCCAGGCGTTGTCAGGCCCCCAGTTTCACTGCGTGACTGCAGTGACATTCTGCACATCCCTTCTCTGACTGAGCTTAGCTCGAGTCCCTCAAGGCTATTTCGGATGGGCTTGCTCATGCTTGTCCCAGCTTCTCGCGTTTCCCCCTCACTATTGTTGCTCGAATCCCACGCCCCCTAAAGGCCCGAAAGTCACAGATCATACCCGGTCCGTCGAATGGCATCTTTCTATTCCGTTAGAACCGTCCGCCGAGAGATTTACGAGCGGGGATAGATCGCTCTTGGTCTTGGCTTTCTTTCGGCATTGCTTTCCGCCCTCTGGCCCATATAAACCAGGCTGGAAACCTGGAAACTTTTCGCGCGTGGACCACGGCAGATCCGGAGTGTTCGAGTTTCTGGCCTTTGGGCTTGTCTTCAGTCTTTGCAAAGTACTACGGATACTACAAACATTGCGCGTCAGCACCCACCGGCTGTCTTTCTCCCCCCATCCTCGGCAAATCCATGTCGACTTGAGAAAGAGTTTTATTTATATCCGCAGAGTTCTTCGTCAACCAACGTCACTTGGTCAGAGCTTCCAGTCTCTTTCGAGGGGCATCCTGTTCTCAGTGAAGCTAAAGCTACTGCTTCTCAACCACATTTCTACGTGGCGATCAGAGGCGCGCCTATCCAACCAAACACCCACAAGTCTGCAAAGATGAGCTCAACGGGCGGCAACTACGGGTCCGTCACCAACTCGGTGCCAGTCGTGAACGGCGACTCGCACGCCCACGCCGACGAAGAGCAGCCCCTCCTAGGCGGCGGCGGCGGTGCCCGGAAACCAGCTTCCAAGTCTCTGCGGAAGAAGCTCACCACAGACGTGCAGCGTGACTGGGCCGACCTAGTTCTCCTAGCATGCTACATTATCACTGGCCTGCTCGACAGCTCTTCCATCTCCATCTGGGGCTCTTTTGTGTCTATGCAAACAGGTAAGATCCCTTCCAAGCCTTCCTTACCCACAATAACGGCCCGAAGCTTCGTGTTCCATATCACTGACACGGAACGGAAAAAAACAGGAAACACAGTCTACATCGGCCTCGGCCTCGCCGCGCCCACCGAATCCACCCGCTGGATCAAGTCCGCCACCTCGCTCATCTCATTCTGTCTCGGCTCCTTCTTCTTCAGCCGTTTCCACCGCTTCTTCTCCCCCAAGAAGCGCTGGGTCCTCTGCGCATCCTTCATCGCCCAGACGCTCCTCTGCGTCGCCGCCGCCGTCATCTTGACCGTCGGTCCTGCGGCTGGCAAGGACGAGATCGCCTGGAACGTCCTCGTGCCCATCGCCCTCATCGCCTTCCAGAGCTGCGGCCAGGCCGTCACGAGTCGCGCGCTCAAGTATAACGCGCTCACGAGCGTCGTGTTGACGAGTATTTATTGCGACCTGTTCTCTGACGCGGAACTTTTCAGCGTCCGCAACGCTGAGCGGAATCGTAGGGTCGGCGCGCCCGTCTTGCTTCTTATTGGTGCCATTTGCGGCGGCTTGTTTGCACACAGTTCCTTGGGAATTGCTGGTGCTCTATGGACGGCGGCTTTCTTGAAGTTCCTCATCGTCTTGTCGTGGTTCTTCTGGCCGGGTGAACCGACTTCGGATGAAGAGTAGATAAGAGATATACTGGACTATATGTAGGCCGCTATCTTAAAAATAATCCTCCATTCAGTCGCTGGTTAGACGGTTTGAAAATCAAGCTCAAGGATCTCAATCTCCAGACTCCAGGCTCATAAGACTCAGTAGCGGCACATAGATAACACGAACTATTCGATTATGTTATAATGTATGCAGCAATGAAACAAAGATCTGGGATACTCCAAAACTGAGTAAATGAGCGGTCGTTTTGTTTCCCTCATCTTCTTATGACTTCACACCCCTTCTGTGTCTATCTCGTTTGCGCATTTTTCGTATTGTTGAACGACTTGAACCCAATTCAACGTCTTACTTCATCTGGGTAGGTACCAAGCTTTCCGTAAACCAGCTATGCTTCTAATTCAAATATGAACTTCTCGGGGCTCAGTAACTCGTCTTTCGCTGCCGACCATTTTCCAACGTCGCTTGGGGTCATAGGAGCTGAGCGATTTGAATCTCCTGATACTCGCGACTTGACACTTAAGGAGGAACTAGAGTCATGCAAATGATCATGTATCCCTGAGACAGCACCAGTACGTTCTCTCATACTCTTGTACCGTTGGGTGTTCGCCTTGCGAAGCTCAGCGACACTTTTCAGAAGCTTGTTTGAACGAGGTGTTTGTGCTATAAATAGAACAGTTGTTTAGCCGCTCATGTTGCCTCTGAACATCGACACCCATCGGATTGGAAGGAACTCACCCTTTCTCTGGCTGTCTTCGCTCATCATCTCTCTAGGAAAGCCACTGATTGGGAGGAATGCGTTGCTGGAGTGTGGGTATAGCTCTGTTCGCAAACACAGAAATATGTTTGTAGTTGATAGCTCTTTGCTGACCACAACACGAATCCTCTTGAGCTTGAATGTGCCTCGGAGATACATGTCAGTGATACTTGCTTCCGGCACAGGTATCTTCGAAGCATCATCAGGCAGCATCCCTGCCTCTTCCACGACGAAGTATGGTTCGAAGTCGCCTCTCAGACAGGTGCGAAGGAATTCGCCTAGATATTTCATTTCATTGGACGAATTGGCAAATCTGCAGTGGATGCGGCCTTCGTTACATATGTTAGTCTTTCGTGATGATGAATTCAAGCAAAATCAAAACGCCTCAAGGCCAGGACTCAATAGAAGGGATCCATGGTATGCCTACCTGTGCACTCGAAACCTTCTTTCACCTGTCTCACTGATCCCGCATCTTTCTCGAAGAAAAAGCAGCTTGCGACCAGTCTGTGTGCGATTTCCTTGATCTTGCCCCGGTTCAAATTAAGGTACCGTTTCGTCGCTCTCTCCAGGCTCTCCAACTCATTGACCGCGTCTAGACGGGGGACCTTGAACCGCAGGTCAGGGTTGACACGGATATGTCTGCGGTGACTATCTCTGGTCACATGTGAGTTCTGCGATAGGACATCAGTCTTGAAATCGGACCATATCGCGTTGCAGGAGAGGATTCGATCAAAGCGATCGGCAGCAATCTGAGCTAGCTGTACTGGTAAGAATGTTCTCTTGCGCTTGGTCACGGTCTCGCTGCCCTTCGATATCTCCGCTCTATGGGGAGCAGACTGGCTCTCATTATCAAGACCGTTCATACCCGTACCGATGGATAAGAGAATGTCAGGCACAGTGTCGGCGATGTCGGGCCATATCATTCGTCTTTCATGGTGAGCTACCAGTACTGGGCAGTTATGGTAGAGCGCGCCATCGAGGTAGCTGCTTTTGGTGTCTGCCTTCGTGAATGATTTGAAAAACGGAGGTGCAGCGGACGTTGCCCGGGCACTTCTCAATATTTAGTTTCAGTTTATGAATGCTATCATGGAGTCTTTGGTACTTACGCCTCCCAAGCCTTAAACTCTTGACTTGGCTCGTTGGATCGAAAGAGCCGATAAGGAAGCTCTGTCTCAATTAGTAAAGTACTCTGCCTTATGCGAGCCGAGACAGCAATACGGCACATTGGGGAAGCACTTACCGTCCTCCATCGCATCAGGTCTGTTGTAGTTCGTGAGAATGACTGAGTGCTGGTCAATAGACGTTGTCGAGGTTACAGCCACTTTCGTTAGCATTTCGCTCTGGCTATGTTCGTTGGCTCCCCCGAAGAGCGGCCGATCCTGAAACTTCTCCCGCAGAAGAGCCTCAAAAGGTTTGGTCTTGTAGATACTACCGTGATTGATCGTGACAAGCTTCTCAAGCAGCGGGATACCTGACAATTCGCGTGGCCTGAAGGCGTCTGCACAAAGGTGTTTGAATGTCTTGATACATTCCTCCACGGACCAATTATTGACCCCTAGTCCAAGAGCAATGATTCCTCCCGTGCTATCGTCAAAGTCAGATAAAGTTCAGTGACGATCTCAGGATGAGGCGAGCATACCTTGTGCCGACAATCAGATCGAAGAAAAGCTGTATCGGGAGTCTTTCACCGAACACTCTTTCGATGGCTCTAAGAACTTGGAGCTCTACAATCCCCCGTACTCCACCACTATAACAAACGTCAGCTAGTGAAAACGGTCTTGTTTCGAGGAAGAGGGCAGCTGAGGGGGCGTCGTACCCATCAAGACACAACACTCGAGCGCCCGCAAATTGTGGTTTGACCACAACCGTCCATGCAGGCTCCCACATTGTTTCCCTTTCATGAAGAGGACATCGCTTCATCTCCACTGTCGTATGGGCCTTGATGCCGTAGGCTTGAACACAAGGTAGACACAGAACATGGCCACAGGGCAATGGATGCTCAGGGAGCTCTCTTAGGCACGAAAAGCAAGTGGAGTGACTAATAAAGTCCCCTACACTACCCAGAGAGTAGTAGAAGTCATTGAGTTGATATCTGTGAAGATCGGCAGCGACTTTTTGCTCGCTTTGCTCGCGTACTCGTGAGGTGGCTTCTTGGAACTTGGCATGAAGCTGACGCAGGTGATTTCGGATTTGATCGATCCACTGACCCGCAAAGTCTTGGATGTCAACGTCTGACTGATAATTTCCCGCTGCAAAGATACGTCCATGTTTGTTCTGGTGACCTTTCGGATCGTGTCCGAACTTGACGTTGTAGCATTTTCCATACTTGGGATGAGAAAAGGTGCATGGCGCATAGAAGTCTGCATAGCCCTCCAGAGCGACGTTGCAGAAATCCACGTACGCGTCGTCGAGAAGTCTTACAGGGGTTCCTGCAAGTCGTCAGTATCACTTTGAAAGACCGGAGAGAGACACTATTATTTACCCAAAATGTTCTGACGGACCGAGTCGAGCATAATGCAAGAAGATATCATCGGCACCATCTTTTCGAAGATTCGTTGAGTTCCTCCACCTTGCTGAGCAATCTGTGTCGAATTATTGCTGATTGAAATCGCCAAGTTCAAGATGTTACCACTGAAGTCTTGTGGAATGGGGTTGTGCTTCAGTGCTTCTTTGACGAAGTCAAAAGGGGTATCCAGATCGCGAGAGAAGTGGTCGTAAGCTGCGTGGAGGTAGACCTGCAACTTGTCTGCAGTTGCTAGCATTCGAACACGCTTCTTGGTCAGCAAAGACGCTTGACATCTTTTGTTGATCAACTCAAAGAGCTTTCCCATCTGATCGTCCATGAGCATGTAGCGACCACGAGACGGAACTCGGATCACAGTGATTGAAGCATAGTAGCAGTCGAGTAAGTCTTTGGTAGTGTTGATGGTTCGACCAATGTTCTGCCAAAGCCTGGCTTGCTCTTCGAATCGAGGCTCGCGGAAAATCGCTCCGCTGATATCATCAAGTAGACGGGCAGTCGCCGTTTCGATATTCCATTCATCATCAGCCACATTGTCTGTTGCATTAAGGACAATGACGGCGTGGGGGAGAGCGGGTTGGTTTAGCGACTTGTCGATCGAAGCCGAGCCCCATTCCAAAAGTTTGTCGAGAACGGTAGATTCGAAAGCCCTATATCAATTAGAAGCATTTCTCCATAGGAATTTGGCAAAGTCTTACCTGGGATTTCTCAGAACGAAGACAACCACATCTGAGAAAGTATATAGTAGTCTGGGATAGAGCTGCGTGACTGCGTACTCTCTCTTCTTTGTTTCTGGTGTTACTGCCCATTCGAGGTCCCTTTGAGATGCGTAGCGTGACTTTCCGAACTTCCGTTTGGAGGATGTGTCAATGACACCAGAAGAGCGGCTAGCAGTTGATGGTTTTGGTGATCTGCCCAGACCAGTCTTTCCCATGACATTTGTGACATCGTTGAGGATCCCAAGAGCCTCCTCCTTCCCCTTTGTGCGATGCCGCAGACCTGCTGGCACAGCTTCCCCACCATCCAGGCCTTCGCAGTCTGCATATAACACAGGCGCTTGGGTATTGTAAGACATCGGATCAGCATACAGGTGGACATCTCCTGTCGTCGGAAGGCGGTCGTTGTTGGACGAGGTAACGGGCGACGGATACTTTGCCCCGCGGTCAAGCATAGCAAGGCGATCAATCAGCATTTTGATCAGCGTACTTTTCCCAGCCCCTAAGGATAATCAGTAAATTGTGCTTTCACAAACATAACCCCAAGAATACTAGCCTGTTTGCCCAATGAAGGACACGAGCTGAGGATAACGATTCCCATGGTCTGGGGATAGGTTATCGCTCATCAACGTAGCGAATCGGCCGTAATCCTGCAATATGGGTTGGTTGGATGAGTCTCTTCCAACTCCAAACCATGTGGTATCCTCATCAGATTGAAATTCGAGTTCGTGTTCTGTTGCCGAGCGCGTGGGTTCCAGGATCTCGCGCAGTCTCTGGACCACCTGGGGGTTGGATTTCTCGTGCGGTCGACCATCCCAGCCGACAGCGCCCGGCTCGTGTAGTTCCCACTCGGACCAGCAATCGTCACAGAATGCTAGATTATTGCATTGAATACAGGTGAAAAGTTTCTTGGTCGTAGCACGACACTTGTGGCAGATTGCCGAGCGCGCTTTGCGAGCTGTGTCTGCCATGGTGTGTAATGCGCTACAGCCTCCGAGGACTGGATGACCTTGCTGAGGGAAACAAAGAAGGATAAAAGGTATGGATTGACATAAGGAGGGAACCCAGGAACATCCCTTCCGCAACTTGGAGACTTGAAGTAAGGCTGTGAGGCAACCGGGTCGCGGGCATTCTCACGCCTGCTGCAATATTGCAGCCACCAGTCCCTCTGGGTCAGCAAAAGAGGACTCGAACTAGACCGATTGGAAGCCGTGAGGCTTTCTTGTCTTGGATGCTAAAAGCGATGCCCAATAGTGTTGAGCTGATAGACTCAGCCCACCATCTTTCAGACTTGTGGCGTCTTCAGCAGGAGTGGTTCCAACCCTCGTCGGCGCGTTATTATGCATGTAAGATTCAGCTCACACGGAAACCCAGCCTGATACTTCCCTCTTGAGAAGCAGATTCTGAACTGGCTTTCGAAGGGTGTTATGGATCTTGTCTTCCGCGTTCATGCATATTGAAACGATATAACGACTTTGAATCCTCTATCGGATGCACGCTGCCTTGCTGCTACCCTCCGCCACACCTGATAGAATGCCGAGTTACACGGCGTACACGAGGCTGAAGATCGACAATCGAACGTTACATTCTTCGTATGTGCACAGAGATATGACCACGAGCATTCCAAAACTGTACCCAAACTCGGGATTTATTTTATAAAAGTGGACGTATGCAGCTATGCTTATTGGCGCCAGCGAAGAAATGTACGTTTGAACGGGGATGACTTGATATGAGAAATCAATCGTCGCAAATCTCCCATAGTTTCTGAAGCCGAAGCGCTGCCGGATAGATTCTTTTCTCAATGTACTAACTAGTAAGAGTATCGCTCTGTGTCTGTATCTTATCGCCAAGCGGTGCAGTATCAATGCCTTCGTTAGCATCAGCACTTGTGTTTTTATATACCACCTGCGAAGGAAGAGTTGCGCATTACTGAGGACCTTTCAGAGCTAAATTCATCCTTCTGGAAAACTCCAAGTAGCGGTCCCAATCCGTTCCTTCGTCACTGCCGGCCGGCAGCGAAGGGCCGACGAAGCTCCCGACGCCAGCTCCGCCCAAGGATTCTTCAATCTCCCAGTACTTTCCACCATCGATGAAAATCACCTCTCCGTTTCTGTTATTGTCGACCATGAGTAAGACAGCCGATTGAGCCACATGTTCCGGTGTATTCAGAGCGAGTCCCGTGAGGGACACCATCTCCTCGTTCACAATACCGGACTTGGTCCAGTTCGGAGCGAGGCAGTTGAGCCTGATAGGAACAGGAAGCTCTTCCAAATGCGGAATGAGACTGCGCATAAGACCAAGCACAGCATGCTTAGACGTGGCTAGTTTAATCGCTTGTATTAGTCTTGCGATTCAAATCGTAAGTATTCTCCAATCAACACTGTCCTTGTTGCAAGAAAAAAAAGAGAAAGCAGTGCTGTGGCATGTGTCATCTACGGGTAGGCGTAAAATGGCGATCAAATTGATACTTACTATAATCAACAGCTTTGAATCTTGTCCAAGAGCTAACAGATGCAGTAAGGACAATGCTGCCTCCGGTTTGCTGCTTGCGCATGTGGTGAACAGCGAGCTTGACTGTTGAAATTACGCTGAGAAGATTCGTCTCAACGCAACTCAGGTCCGGTGCCTTCAACTCTCCATCAACAGAATCAATCTCATCGTCGATGAACCGGGTCCGGGCTCCAACTCCTAGTACCACTGAAGTCAGCCCTAGTCTTTGTTCATGGAACTCCTTCTCCTTGCCCTCAACCCCCGGGTCAATGAAGCCTCTGCCTCGAGTGCAGTGGCCACAGTTTCAATGGCTTCGCAATCAAGTGGAGACCCCCAACTTGGCGACTTCAACCCCAAGTAGAAGAAATCTACAGGTAGGCATATTTACCGGCGTTTGCGAACACGGCATCAATGCGACCTTCTCGCTCTACGGTTCGCGCAAATACGCCACGAAGAGCTTGCCAATCGCACACATTGCACGGCTCGAAGGTTAGATGAGAATCTACTGGAGACGGCTCGCCAGGCTCCGACGCTTTGGGAAGACTCAAATCAACATTCGTAACTCGCGCACCCAGAGAGAGAAGTAGGTTGACCGTTCCTAGTCCGATACCAGAGGAGCCGCCTGATAGTGGTCTAGTTAGCATAAATCCTCCACAAATAGTCGCTGATATGATACATAGGCTCCTTGGCTGAGTGCCCGGACAGTAATGCAGTTCAATTCAGGACAAAGAAACAAGATAGTTCCGAGGTGTAAATACCTGTCACTAAGACAACCTTGTCTTTGAGACCGACGAGGTCTTTATCGTTGATTTCGAAGCGCGACATTGAGCCGATATAACGTTGAGTTGATCAGCTTTATTTTCGCCGGTCCACCCTGATAGACGGCGTTTTGTATGCCCTCAGACCTCGCTTCATATAACCGTATTGGGCGTTATATATATATATGTAGCTGATATCATTGCGCTTAAAGAACTCCGTCGGCGAATATGGGAAGACCGGATGAGTGTCACAGAAACCTTGTTTCATCCCGTCCGCGGCCTACCGAGGTGCCTGTCCACCCCGCACACCCCGCTTCCCCTTCGTCTCGCCACTGAACCCAGGGACCAAGTAGCTGACAGTAATAAAACTGAATTCATAAACACTGCGATTGGTTAACAGGAATGCTACGATGTTTCCTGAAGCGGGTGGTGGCATAATCACCGGTCCCTTTGGGCCTTCGGGGAGATCGGAATACAGGAGATCTTAATAGCTGGCTTGCTTGCATTTTACATGTTTCCGACTTGAAACCCTTTCTGGAAATCTTTGTCGGCTTCTGCTCTGTCTTCCAATTTACCAGAAGTGGGAGAAACCACTAGCTTCGTCTCCCAAGCTGGACCATGGGGAAAACCTAATAAGCTATGCCGAAGGATGATGTAGGAACCATATCATATTAAGGAATAATGATCCTATTTACAATTGCTAGAATTAGTGGAGCTCGGTTCATTCAAAATTGACGCAATGGTGACTACAAATGCCTCCAAGCGAACGCTCCTCGTTCATGAGCACTAGGCGGCGCAATGGAACAGTTTCTCATACGAACAAAGCCGAGTCACTTCAAAAACTCAGAGATTTTTGATTTCGAAGGTCTTATTTCTTTAATTCCCTGCTAAAATGAAGGATAGTTGACATCTTTTCGCACCTTCTACTTGATATACGCACTCGTCTACTGAATACCAGTCTACTGTGTACTGACCACACGCAGCGCCTATCGGCCAGTCGGGCTAACCCTCAGCCCGAGGTAACGTGAAGGGGACCGTGGCCGTCATCCACAGGGCAGCCAGATCCATCAGAGTCGAATTCAACCACACAGGTAGCGTCAATGCCAATAGCAATCCCAATGAACTCGGTATCCTTTTGCTGCGTGCCGCTACCGAGGACGTTGCCGTTGCTATCCTTCACCTCGCATGTCTTGGGCGCGCCACCAAAGTCTGACTTGCAGTGGAAGACTCGCCCGGTATCCCAGCAGTCGCCTTCGATGGTGAACGTGCGGCCGTCGCCAGTGTTGTAGCAGGGAGAGTGGTCATTGGGGTAGGACTGATCGTAGACAGCCTCACCGGCGTCGTTGAGAATGGCAAAGCCGGTGTAGCCGCCATTGGTGCCAGATCCACTGGGGCCACCAATAGCGCCGAAGGCGCCAGAAGACCAGACGACTCGAAGGTGCTCAGCGTAGGCGGATGTTGAGATGCTCAAGATTCCAACGACGAGGGCGGGGGCGGAGGTATACATGATGGCCGGCTTTGGTGATGTTTTATAAAGATGTCGCAGTGTCCTAACGCCGAAGCTGATATGAAGTTTGTGTCGTCGAGTCGCAAGAGATTTCGTTTCTTGAAGTATATAGCTTGAATTGCTTTGTTATCGTTCTTAATTTTCTTTTTCGATGGTCTTCGGAGAAGAGATTTATACTTGTGTTGATTGTCTCATCGGATACACAAGAGCATCAAAACCTCCAATTTTTTAGGCATCCTCAAGACTCAGTAGTTTGATGTCATAGTGCCTAAGCTGTTGATCAAGTCGCGTATCGCATCCTGATTCAAATGTGTGAAATCATGAGCAAAAGCTATTCTGCATCCACTAAAGGAATATCTTCCTCGCAGAATGTGAGAAGAATAATTTCTATTGCCATTCCATGTGGGGGATGATGCCAAATTTGGAGCGTGTTTGTCGATTATCCCTCGATTTCTCAGGCTTTGGCACGGGTATAGTCATTGACTTAACTCAAGAAGGTTGCCTAAAACGGGTTCAGGATAGAATTTGCCTAAGCCTAGCTGAAGCCTTGCTGATGCTAACCCCACAGCTTCCCACTTCTTAAGGGGCTATGATGTAGATCACCTCAAGAACTGCCCAGCTGAGAGGCGAAGGATGAGTTGACGGAGCCACCCCCATACCATTGATCGACACCGGCGCAAGTCTAACCCCAGACAAACTGGAAGTCTGACTGAAAGCGTTTGCCGCACTGCCGCATGCTAGTTTTCTGTGCAGTACCAGGCCTTGGCTCTAGACTTGAATCGCAAGCTCGCATTATCAACATCGCCGTCTCTTCGAATACGCGCCCATTTATGCTGTCGGCAGCCGTTATTACGCTCATTCTATTCGTTCCAGCCATTGGACCTGGAACATCTGCCGGAGGTTCGGATGAGAGATGCACTCACGTACTACTTTATTGAGATTTGGTTTCAGACAGGGTGGAGAGCGGGTCCCATCATATCGATGTTGGGAGCGAAAGATCTCGATCAAGTACTCAGAAGTTCTCTTAAGGTGTCTTTTCCTCGCTCGCTTGGTAGCTAGATGTCATCGAGTCTCTCAACGAGAGAATATCGAGGCTGGGACTCGGGCACGAACCATAACCTCCTCATGTTGCTGAGAGTCTACTTAGGTAGCTCACCACCCACTCATGCACAAAACAATTTGAGGTAAAGGAGCGTTTGAAGTGGCTGGCTTCAATCAAACTTTGGGTTTGGGGTTGCCGTGGCTCTCTCTCAACCTGATTTTCGAACACTTCCCACTCTCAAGTGATTGCTCTCGCATCTGCTTCTTTTCGTCTTCATGTGAATAGTTGCGGGAAGCTAGGTAATGGCTTGTGTACAGATTTCCCAACAGATTGTAAAGTTACAATACATAACGAAGAATTAGCTAACAAATTTTGAGACCTTGATTCTCGCCTTAAATATCCAAAACACCCAAAGAAATCCACTACTTGGTCATAAGCGCTACATATAGTAAGTCAGATGCATGTCGTTCATGGTTAGTCGCCATCAACGGCGTCGTTTCTGCCAGACTATGCATCATTTCACAAGCTTCGTTCTACCATTCCTCATGCTTATTTCTTGCTCAATGATGGCGAGAAGGATGGCGAAAGTAGATCGCTGCTGTTCGGACACCTACACTCTTTACTTTACTCCCTCATCGTAAATTTGTCCTCCAAGTAAGCAGTCACTCGTACATGTTCTCTATTGTTGAAACATAGTTGCAATGAAGGATAAGGCACTCTGAAAGTTGATTTGTCTACAAGGAAATAGGTTTCTACTAAGCAACATTGTACATCGGCTTATGTAACTGTTCAGCACGGTAGAAATAGATTTAGAGTCTTCAATCTTTGATCGTAGAACTAGAAGATCAAGCAGCTCGTTCGTACAGTGCTCTCACGGGGTTGTTGGTAATTGCCAAGCTTTTTCACAAACTCTCTTCGACTGAGTAAGGATTGAAAGAACGCGTCTTTTTCACAGCGTTGGAGATGCTCGTACTCGGATCCGAACTACTTAGCTGGGTGATTACTAATTCGGGCTCCTTTCCTTGTCCGAGAGGGTTCCACGCACATACGACATTGTTTGGTCGTCCACCTCAACAGACAAGTAAACTCTATCATGACAGGGCCCAAGCGAGGCCCCAATTATGCAGGTCTAAGCTCATTACTAACACTTCCGGACTCTAACACTGATCCGTCCGGTCCGTCTTGTCGCCTTGGCCCCACCTCAAATTCGCGGCATTCGGGACGTTCGATCGAATGACAGGAGGAGGATAGCCCCGGTGGTGATGCACAAGCGGGACGGGTGCTGATCAACTGCATCCCGCGTGGGACAAGGTTCCACTCATGATGGCACGAAACCTCGAAACCTTAGACAGGCCTTGCCCAATTCCGGTGCGGGGATGCTATCAATGCCGTGTCTTGCGTGTGCTGGTGCCCTAGTCATCTCAAGTTTATAATGTCATGAGCCTGTTCGTCTCTTGGCTGTCGGAAGGCAAGACAAATCACCACCGTACTTTACTTTTCATTCACCATGGCCCAAGCATTCGGAAACCTGCCCAGCGGAGTCTCCAAGACTCCGGAGAAGTTCACTCTCAAAGTGCCGGATCAGAGCGTGGATGAATTCCAGCAGCTACTCAAGCTATCAAAGATTGGGCCGGAGACATGGTACAACAAGCAAGAAGATGGCCAATTCGGCGTATCTCGCAAATGGCTCATTGACGCCAAAGAAGCCTGGTTGAAGTTTGACTGGCGCAAACAGGAGGCCCGCATCAACTCCGTCCCAAACTTCAAAGCAAAAGTTGAGGATGCAGATCTCGGAACCGTGGACGTCCACTTCGCTGCCCTATTCTCCAACAAGAAGGACGCAACACCGGTTATCTTCATGCATGGCTGGCCCGGCTCTTTTCTCGAGTTCTTTCCCATGATCGATCTGCTGGTGAGCAAATACACCCCCGATACGCTACCGTACCACGTCATCGTGCCGTCTCTCCCGGGCTATGGTCTCTCTGCTGGCTCCATACCGCTCGAGAAAGAGACTCAACAAGAAGCTGTCGCGCGCACTTTGCATCAACTGATGCTTGACCTTGGTTTTGATAGCGGATACGCTGCTCAAGGTGGTGATGTGGGAAGTTTCATGGCTAGGATTATGTCTGGCTACAAGGAGTGCAAGGCATTCCACTGTGAGTGAAACCGACTTCAATTCGTTAAGCCTTGATCATTGACAATCATATAGTGAACATGTTGATGCCTACGCCCGAGGATGCTGCTGGCGGCACTGATGGGTTGACACCTCAAGAACTTCAACAGACCGGCAGGATGTTGAAATGGCGCTCGACTGGAATGTCGTATGCCCTAGAGCATGGCCTCCGACCAGCAACCATCGGATTGGTATTGTCAGCGAGTCCATTGGCGCTATTGGCTTGGTATGCTGTCCTTTCCTACATCCAGAATTTCTGAAACTTACTGAAAAACCGCAGGATCGGCGAAAAGTATATCGAGTGGGTGGACTCGCGTTATCCGCTTCAGCTGGAGACCATTCTCGAGCTCGTGAGTCTGTATTGGTACACGGACACGTTTCCAAGGAGTATTTACCCATATCGGCCATTGGCAAAGGCCATGTCTAGTGAAGGCGGTGGCACAACTATCCCTACTTCGAAAGAGACGCCCCTGGGATATTCGTGCTTCCCAGCCGAGATTGGCCTCATGCCAAAGGCGTGGGCTGAAAAGTCATACCCCAATCTCACACAGTATCGCACGCATGATAAGGTCAGATATCGAAAGTTCTCTGTGTCATTTACGAGAGCGACACTGACTGTGTAATCAGGGCGGACATTTCGCGGCGCTTGAGCAGCCGACGCTGTTGCTGCAAGACGTGGAGGACTTCTTGGCTTCTGTCAAGGCCGCTTCCAAGCTCTGACTTGAGCCCCAGAAACTGGAGTAGTGGAGCGTCTTTCATGAGGTAGAACGAATCCCAGGCCAGGTTAAAGATTACTCTGAAGCAGCATTCTCATCCTGCAGACGTATCATCAAGATGGGGACATCAGAAATAAGTTTGGTATCTTCAGTCGTACATTCGTAAACACCGTTGAAAACTATAAAACTTTCTGTTCACTCTCTTCAGTGTATGATCCTACGCTCGGTATCTTTCCCGTAACCTATTCGTCATTCCTATATCATTTCTACTGTTCGCTGGAGAGTATTGGCTTATTTTGCATGCACATTGATGACATTGACCTGAGTTTGCTCCTGATTCTTGGTGGGGTCGTGGAGCTCCGACGGGCGGAAGTCTTGAATATACGTTACTTCTCCGTTCGTCCTTGAAACGGGACTGTATCTTCTTTTCCGTTGCCAAAACCTGCCACAGTCAAAATGTTAGCTCTTCTCCTTATCTCGGGGCTATGAAAGTTCAAACTGGGGTTGGAGCTTGCCGGGGACTTACATGCAAGCACCGACGATAACAGCCATGGCAATCACACCGGTACCGATGCTGATACCCACAATGATCTTCTTATCGATGCCACCAACTTTGCCATCGAGCACCCCAGGAGGGTTTATGCTGGTGGCAGATGCACTTGGACTCGGTGTGAACTCTTTTGGAGCACCACTGCTCGAAATCAATGACTGCGCATTGGATCCGAAGCTGACTACGTCCTGGACAATAGCCTTCGTGGCCACCGGAAAGACCGCTTCAACCCCCGATGCGACGGCTGTGATGAATGTCTCCGTAGCAACAAACTTCCGCATAGTCTGGAGTTGCGGCGGACAGTTGACTAAGCCCGTAGTCAAGCATTCTATACCGGTATACGTCACCTTCTTACTCAGCGTTGTTGTAGTAAGCTCCTCTTGACGCTTCTCTTTACTAGTCGGACTGGCAGAGACACCAATTGCTGTTGTAGTCGGAACACGTGTGCTGGCACAGGCATCTCCAAGTGTGGTGTAAAACAGCGGAATCTGAGTGTTGGGCACCGGACCCCAGATGCGGTCGCCGATCTGCACCGAAGCGCCAGCCGCAGCACCGAGTGCAAACTGATACGCGTTGACGGCCCTCAAGACGCAGCCGTTCTCGTCTGGAGTCGACAAGGCCGTAACGTTGGTGCTCAATTCAGCAATGTTTGCAAATACGCTGACCTCTATCCCGGCCGAGGCACCTGGGACTTTGATAGTGTTGTTGAAGAGTTCAATCTCCTTGCTGTCAACGGGAGACGAGATTTCAATGCCGGCACTGAAGCCTGCGCGGAGGACAGCCTTGAGCTCTACACCGGCGCTTTCGATGATGACGGGGAGGAATTCGAATTGGCCACCATTACTAAAGATTCTGAATCAGCGATGGAGGGGTCAATGTGAAAGGAAAAAGAACTAACAAGTTGACGCTGGAAACGTTCTTGGAAAAGAGGGCAATATCAAAGCCGACTTCGTCGTCCATCCGGAGGTGAAAGCCGCTACTCATCTGGAGCTCGCTTTCAACGCTCAAGATAAGGTCAATGGAGAATACGACACCAAGAAGCAAATCATCTCCGATCTTTGAGCCTAGAGGAGTAGTTGACGTGTAAAGATTGAGTGTGTACGATAGGCCAGCTGACAGAGCAGTGTCAAGCTGCATATAAATCTCCAAATCTTCGAACCCGAACCCTAGGCTCGCCTCGGGAAATGAAGGAACATCAAGGTCGAATGTAATGTTTAACGGCGGAAAGTCAAAGTCATCGGCATCTAGGCCATCAGACAAGTTGTCCACCACCCCGGAAACGTAGTTCTTTGCGTATGTGGTGATGTTGTCGAAAGTCTCTCCAAACTCGTTTCCGATGTCAGTTGCCACTTTCGTTGCATTGAAGGTGCCGTCGATCGTGAGGTGAGCGCTGGCTTTGCCTTTGATGTAACACTTGGTGCACACAATCTCAATGCCCGCACTCGCTGTGACGTTGGCGCCGGTCTCAACTTCTTGCTCACTATGATTGGGACTGTTAGTATGTTGATCCCCGTGAGTTACGTACTTGAAGAGTCAGTGCTTACTACTTGAAGAGAATTGCATTGTCAAATCCAGTGTCAAGTGAAGTGCTGTTACTGAACTTGGTCTCTCTTCCCTCGAGTCTGGCGTTGGCGAGATACCGACGGAAGGCTAGTAGTGTGTTGGAAGCTGTCTTGCCAGGGCTGCTTCGCACCACCAGATCTACCGGGGCTTCATGCTGGCTAGCACCAACACCCGAAGTGACTACCAGTGTCCAAAAAAGAAGTGATGTGAGTTGTGGGAACATTGTTTAAACTTCACTGGGTTCTGATAGTGAGAAGCCGAGGAGAGGAGTCTGCTTGTCTTTCGAGGTCGAACTCCATCAAGAAGGCGTGGAAACGATGCTCAATTTGACTATTCTGCCGTCCCAGTCCTTATGGTTTGATCTGCGAAGGTATCCATACTCCCGACAGAGCTTCACGAGCCTGATTCCCAAAACGTAAAAGTTTGTTGGTTCAGTCCATGCAGTTCGCCGGTCGGCGCAGCAGAACCCCGGCTTGAATGATGTCTCGGCCGGATGCAGGGGTAGCAGCCTGGTACTGCGATGACTGCATGACTGGGGTCACGATCTCCGTGGACACTCCAGAATGTCACAGCCTTCTAACAGGTGGGTAATACGAGATGCAGCTAAGATACGCTTGATGAGTATTATTCTAGTCGACGATTGACCATCTTCACATATGTAGTGATGGGCAAGAACATGATAAGGTGAAAACCGTAGCTACGATGCCGTTGAGAACCTAAGACGCTCTTCGTATCGGTGTGCTCCTGGGAATTTAGGGCTGTCATTACACGGAAGGAAAAAGAATCCTCGTAAGGATGTCGAGTTTGAAACATGAAGTGGTGATAGGCAACAGAATCTCGAGTCAGGTTGGTTCGTCGCAATTTGCATGTCTCGACCACCCTATTTTGTGTTGGACAAGGCTAGGAAGGGTGGCTTGCTGCACTAAAACCACATCAGGGGCACCGCGGTAGCACCCCACTGGCCACATGGGATCACTGCAGGCGCATTCAGCCGAATCTTTTTTTAACCTTCTCGACACCATCACCAAGCTTCGCCCCGACGCGTCAGATAGCGTTGAAGGAAACAACTTAATTGTTGATTTGGAGCTTCCAAACAGTTCGTGATGCCAGACTGGTCGGAAAAAGACATCAAAAACGCGGAAGTCGACGTGTCCAATGGCAAACCCGCGCGCAAAGCCGTCAAAGACTGGGGTATCCCCTACACCAACCTCTACCACCGGATCACGCCCGGCAAGAAGACATGCAGACAGGCCAAGCAGGAGTATTAACGACTCAGCGTGCCCCAAAAGTGGTCCCTGGCTGCCTGGGCTATCTCGCAGGCGGAGCTGCGGTTCCCCGTCACCCGCCCTCAGATCAAGGAGTTTGCGTTGAAGGTGCTCTCCGCATAAGGTGACACCCGCGAGCTCAGCAAAAGATGGATTGAGTTCTTTATGGGGCGGCATCCCACTGTGACGGTGAAGTCGCTGAGGAACGATGGGAAGAAATACAGGAAAGGGAAGGTGGCAGAAACTCAGTCAGTGGGAGAGGCAGAGGTAGAGACAGAGGGGGTTAGAAGCTGGAGCAGTGGCACAGGTTGAGGTAGGGATAGAAGCGGGAACGGTGACAGAGGTTGGAGCAATGATAGAAGCTGGAGTAGGAACAGAGGTTCAGGCAGAGGTAGAGGTTGAACCAGTGGCAGCGACAGATGTCGACGCCGAGGTAGAGGCAATGGACATGGGAACCCCAGCCGGCGAGAATAACAACGAAGGCATGGAGGTGTGGGAGCCGTAACGGCCCCCACGTTGTGTTGGTTGTTAGATTGTAGCCTACTGCAACGATCCCTTCGCAGGTTCAAGGGGGCATGTATGCAGCTACATGTTTCAGGCACGTTTTTTGCAGTTTTGGTGGTGGCTCATGAGTCGCGACCAACGAGACCAGCTGCATGGGAAGTGGGCAGTGATTATCCGTGTTGGAACGGCATTTGGCTTTCGCACGAAAATATCTTGCTAACAATGGGGTTCAAATGATTATTTGGCTGACAGCCAACTACCCTTAATCATTTGGATTTGATCCGTTCTAAACTCCCAGGTTTCTGATTAAAAACCATTGCAGAGGATCATGATGCAGCAACGGCTTTCGAGTTACTCGGGAGGTCAAACACCTTTCCAGGATTCATGATCCATCTCACAAATAGTCAGCATGGCGCAAGCGTAGCTCCAGATTGTCAATAGACTTACCTTGGATCCACCGCCTGCTTCAACGTCCTCATGAAATCGATAGCATCAACGCCGAGCTCATCAACAAGACAATCTTTCTTCCCGATGCCGATGGCATGCTCTCCCTACACATATAGTCAGCACGATAATCACGATATCTTTCATCGTTGATGGAAAAGAAGACTCACTGAGACAGTACCCTCCATCTCCAAAGCTCTGCTCATCATATCATGAACACACTTGGCAACCGAAGCCCGCTGCCCCTCGTCCTTCGGGTCATACATGACCGCCTGGTGAAAGTTGCCGTCTCCAACATGTCCAATGACACTCGCAAAAAGACCGAGCTTTCCAGAGTCTTCTTTGGACAACGCTGTGGACCGTGTTGATCAGCAGATATCTCTCAAGACGAAGTATTCGAGCTTCTGCAGAGTATCAAAACTTACTGATTATCTCGGCCAATCTCGAAATCGGCACAGCCACATCCGTGGACCAGAGAGAGTACCCCTCGGGCTTGATCGACGTCATCGTCCAAAGCGCTTCCTTTCTCGCGGCCCATAGGTCAGCTTCTTCCTGCTTGTCTCTAGCGAAGAAGACCTTGCGTGGCTTGAATGGCTGCACAATCTCCTTGACCCTAGCAACATCCCCCTTGATACCGTCGGTGGTCCCCGCGAACCTTAGAAAAAAGAGTCAGCGCAAGTAGAGAAAAGCGAGGAAGTTAAGCGAAACAACCCACTTCAAAAACAATGTCGGACTCTCGTCCCACGCAGTCTTCCTAACAGCCTCACTCCCATGCCGATTGATAACTTCCATCTGCACCTCATCCAAAAACTCCAACGCCCCAAGCGGCACCCCGCTCCGAATCAGCCCCGTCGCCGCCCTCGCCGCCTCCTCAATTGTCCCAAACGACACCACCGCAACGCTCGTATCCGCCGGCGCGACAGCGAGCTTCACCGTCGCCTCCGTGACGATGCCCAACGTGCCCTCGGCGCCAACAAATAGGCTCGTCAGGTTATACCCGGCCGAGTTCTTGCGCGGCCGCCGGCGCGTCTTGATGATGCGTCCATCGGCGAGGACGACGGTCAGATTGACGACCCAGTCCTTCATCGTGCCGTAACGGAAGGCGTTTGTGCCGCTGCAGTTTGTGGAGACCATGCCGCCGATGAAGGCGGTTGGGGAGGGGTCGAGCGGGAGGAAGAGGCCTGAGGATTGGATTTCTTTATTGAGGGTTACCCAGTTTACGCCTGGTTGAACAACGACGTCCATGCTGGGTAAGTGGTCAGGACTGGTGGTCTTGAGTAGAGTGAAGGGGGCCGGGGGGAGTACTCGTCAGGGTGGAAAGCAATAATCTTGTCCATGTGCACAAAGTCGATGCAGATTCCGCTGTAAGGCGAAGAGAAACTTCCCTCGACGGAAGAGCCAGCGCCGAAAGGCACTAGGACTGGTCAGTACTTCGATGAAAGTGGTAATAGCTCCATTGCTAGGGCCCAGATTTGAAGAGAACACTTACCCATAGGAACGTTGTATTTGTTGCAAATCTTAGCTATCTGCGAAACATCCTCGGTCGTCTTGGGGTAGACAATAGCAACGGGGCGACCGCTCGAGTTGGAGGTGGACCAGTCAGAGTGTCCATGTACCTCAATCTCATCTTCATCGAAGCTGACTGCGCCTTCACCCAGAGTATTGGAGATCTCATGAGCCGCCTTGACAATCCTTCAGTATGGATCTTCACCAGTGTGTGGTCCTGGGGATTACAGTACCTTGATCATTTGCTTCCGGCTCGCGAAATTCACGTGAGACAGCTTCGTTTGCCCCTCGGCGGCCGGACCCGAGGTGCCAGATCGGCCTATGAGATACCCGGCAAAGAGCGGGATTGCGCCGAGAACCAGAAGTTGAAGAGGGACCAGTTTACCGCTTTTCTTTGATTGCGGCCCCGTGTGAACTGATTGAAAGAATTTGGCACTTGATGAGTTGGTTCCTGGACCAATCGGCCGGGATGCTGCGCGTCTAGCCGTGCCACTTGGCAAAGCGCGACAGCGCGTGAATGCGCGGAAGGCCATTGTTTCGACACGTTCTGCTCCGGCGTGTGTCTCCAAGTTGACTCAAGAATATTGTGACCGGTCAAATGTCCCGTGTTGATGAGCCGCAATACGATCCGTCAGAGAGGCAACGGTCGAGGTGGGCGGATGCAACGCCCTGATGACGTCTAGGCGCGCGTTCCCACAGACAACTTAAGTTGAACACCCTCAAATGTAAACAAACAGCATAATGTGCAACAACAAATTACAGGTCTACCAAACCTCGACAGATGCTTGATGAATTCATGTCGCGAGGCGGCGAGGTCGTTGCGCGCACGCAACGAGTGCCGGAATTACCAAGGGGGGAATCTCCCTCCCCCGGCGTCGGAAACCGGACGACAATTGGGCCGAGGCAAGCCGCGTTCTCATAGCGAGATCCGGTCATTCAGAGTAGCTCAACAAACTACAGTGTGTCATCAACTGGCGTACAAAAATCGAGGCTTTTCTGCTCAATTCTCAACATCAATTGCCGTAACTCTGCCATGTATAAAGTAATTCTAGAGATGGGCTTGAGCAACAGAATAGCATTGGGACGTGTGCTATCTCAACTGGGATGAGAATCCGCCGCAAATCCGCTCCAATGAGACGCCGAGATCATCACAAATAAGCCAGCCAGAATCTCATCAACGGCAGTGACTCACTCACAACCTCTCATCACATCTCACGAAACCTCATCCACACAACACAAATCATCACTATAACCCGACTTGTCTCACCCTCAAAGCTCACATCTATACCCTTTTTAACATCCAATCCTCAGACCTTAAAATGCCGCCCTCATCCCCCCTCATCCTCCCAAAATCCCACCCCTCCCCTACCAAATTCCAAACCCTCCTCGACCGCTACAAATCCCTCCGCCTTACATCCCTTCTCCTCTCCCCATCCTGCTTCGGCTCAACCCACGCCCGCGAAGCCGTCTTTCCCCAAGAGAAATGGTTATCCCGCCTCACGAACCCCGTCGCGACAACAATAATCATTTACGAGGATGTAGCCTCAACATCATCTCTCACCAATGGCTGCTCCTCCTTAGACATGGCTCTCACCGCAGAATGGCTAGCAACACTTACCATAAATGGTCCCCTCGACCAACAAACCCTCTCATCCTCGCTGCACCTAGATCCCTCCATCGTAGACTTTGGTCCAACCCACCAAACATCACCAGACGTACCCACATCTCAATACGTCATAAACGGCATGTTCGTGATACCCGCAGCACGAGGAAAGAAATTAGGCACTCAACTCCTCGAATTCGCAAGAACCCACGTCGTAGCAGAAATCGGAACCCAGAGAGCGGAGACTAAAAGAGGAGGAGGAGGAGGGGCGCGGATATCGCTTATTGTCGACTACGACAACGAACCCGCTCGCAAGACGTACGAGAGATCTGGATTTGAGATTGTTCATCGGTATTGGTTTGATGATTACCGTGAGGGCCGGGAGTCGAGGACTGAGGCGGCGGTAATGGTGCTTGATATTTGATAATCAGGGAGTTGAACGTGGCAGATAGTGAAAAAGGCTCGAATTACCTACTGTTAGACACATGGTATTCACTCTGAAATCTAAAAGATAGCTATCGACGGCCATAGATGGAGACAGGGAGCAGTATCAAGTATAGATGCACATCACGTTCACTTCAATAGGGACATGGAGATTAATTAGTAAGTATCATATTATTCTTTGCATTAAGCCTTTGACCCTTGGTATGCTAAAGGCCCACCATTCCCTCGCATCTTTCCACAAGTACCAAATCCTTCATCATTGTGTCTCACCAGGTCGTTATGCCTAAAAGATACCCTCAGCAATAGCCAAAACCTTCTGAGCCTTGTCTTCACCCAATTCTCCCTCGAGCCAAGCAACCGCCTTGTCCTCCAGCATCTCCCAGCTGTCCCGCTCCTCTGGAAGAACCTTGCGCAGGAAGGCAATGACTGCAGAGGTAGACAAGACTCTCTCGTCATCAACACCAAGCGAGTGAAAAGCGTTCTCAATCACCTTCAACGTGGTGCCAATGATGTGGAAGATTTCCTCTGAAGAGTTCCAGCTACCGTTGAAGTTCTGGAACGACACTATGGCAGAGAACGGATCGGTAGATGGTGAGTAGTCGTCTTCGAGTCCCGCTAGGTCAAACTCGAAAGAATCGGGGGCCCTTTTGAGCTTCTTCTTCTTCTTCTTAATGATCGACAGGTCAAGAGTGGCCGATAAAGCAGGGGCAGCAGCTGAAGGAGTTTCATTTTCCCAATCATCATTAGGATCTTCGCCAGGGAGGGGCATGCATGAAGCTTCAGACATCTCCTGGTGGTATAGTTCTAGCAGAGCTTCATCGACCTGGTTCGTGGGAGGGGCCAGCGCGGCAGCTTGAACGATAGGGGGCTGTCCGCTGCCAGACCAATGGGCAGTTGCGCTTGAGCTACCAAAGAGACCTCCAGTTTGAGGCACGGAGGATGGAGACTGGTCATTGGCAGACCGACGAGGAGCACTACCAAATAGACCTCCAGTCTGTGGTGCGGGAGAGACGGAATTGGCAGCCGCAGGCTGACCAAACAATCCTTCACTAGATCCATTTCCACCAAAGAGTTGAGATCCTCCAGCTTGCGCTGCACTGGCTGATTCTGCGCCGAATGCACCAGTGTTAGAAGAGCGCGAGCCAAACGGGCTACTAGAAGCTGGATTGGGCGGGGCAGAAGCCGTGGGGTGTCCAGACAAGCCTCCGCCAGATCCGCCAAAGAGCCCAGACCCTCCGGTGGCCGGGGCAGCACCAAAGGCACCAGTGACAGAAGAACGTGAACCAAAGAGGCCACTGACAGCCGGGGTAGACGACGGGACGGGGGCTACAGGGTGGCCGAACAAGGATCCGGTGGGCTGGCCGAAGGCCGTAGGCGCTGTTGGCTGTTGCCTTTGCTGGGTATTGGAAGAATCCAATCCGCCGAACAGCGCAGAGCCGGTAGATGGTGCAAATGGGTTCGAAGAAGCCGTCGAGGTTGACATGCCGAACACTGATGCGCGTGGCACTGGTGAGGGAGCGGCGCCGAATGACAGTGATGGATCCGCATCGTCATAAGCTCGGGACCGAGATCTGGAAACCATGCCTCCCCGACCTAAGCTAGGATTTGGCCCCCTCTGGCGATTCGAGGACAGATTCTGTGTTTCAGGTTTGATCTGTTCTTTGTTGGCAGCGGAGAGGTTTGGAGTATTGATTTGCTCGACAGCAACAAAGGAGCACCATTTGCCTCCGACCTGAAACTGAATGCCAAGTCGGACGGCCTCTCGCTCAACCATGCTGGGGAAGCGGCCGGGATTCTGTGCTTCTAGAAGATTGCCATCTCTACCTTTGGCATGATAGATCCATCCACGGCCTTCTTCCAGTTCCTTGACAGCCTTGCGAGCGGCGAGCTGATGGATTGTCTCGGCCTTATTGTCAAGCAGGGTGATGGGGATTTGGAGCTCCAAGGGACCCTGGGATGAAGTGCCACGCAGAACCAAGGTCTCCGGAGTCTTGGATCTCAGCTCTCTGTCGGGAGAAAGCAGGAGATAGACAGTGGTGCGGCTGAAAGGGAAGAGAGGCGGGATCTGGAAGGGAGCTTGAAGGATTTTGGGCGGCTTGACTGTCGGAACGTGGGAGTACCGCTCCAGGCCAGAGCCGTCGTCTTGAGCCTGGGCATCCTCCATGTCAACGTCGTCGTCTGCGCTGGCATCAAAGAGGGAAATGGGCTTAGCGGGCTTCTCGGGTACCTTGTTGCCGGCTGTCTTCTCGCGAATGGCATCTTCGGGTTCAATGATATCAAAGTCATCTTCAGGCTCCGTCTCGGACTCGGCATCGGCATATTTGACCTCGAGGGTATAATCGTTGACATGGGGAGTGAGAGCTCCCTTAAGCATGCGGACGACTTTGCCAGACATTTTCTCATTCTCGGAGACGGATTGCGAGAAGCCATTGCCAGCTCGAGCGAGGCCTTCGATGAGAGAGTGGCTGACACCGCTGCCGACACCCAGGGTAAAGAGACGAATGGCGCCGTTGGACTCACGAGCCATTCTGTCCACCATGCCGAAGAGGCGATCTTGGTCCCAAACCTCACCGTCAGTGAGGACAAAAGTCTCAAGATCAAGGTCGATGTGGCGTCGCTTGAAAGTTGACTCGATGGGGTTATAGATCTGGGTACCTCCGTAGTTGGCGGAGAATGTGTCAATGTGTCGCATGGCAGTTTCCATGGTGTTCTGGTCATACAAGACGGACTTTGGGAACAAGAAATCATGCCTGGAGCCGAAGCTGCAGATGTTGAACATGGAACCGACAGGCAGAGACTTCATAAAGACTCTAAGGGCATTCTTGAGATCTTGCATTTTGTTTCCCTCCATAGAACCAGAGCGATCACAGATGAAGACAATTTCGGGCTTGGTGGCAGCGATCTTGAACTTGGGCACAAGGGTGGCCATGAGAGCCTGCTGGTGAGGAATGGTAGGGTGCGTCTCGAGAACAGCAACGGGGTTGGAAGTGTTTGTCGCAATGACCTGGACAATGAAGTCACGTTCCAGTTGAGCAGTGCCTAGGGAGAGAGTGGCACTCGCAAGCTGGAGAGATGGTGTGGCGTTTGCGTCCATAGTGGAAGTAGAGCCGATAGAAACAGAAATTGGATGTGAAGGTGACTGAATCGACTTGATGAAGCTTCCAGCCGGCACTTGGGCATCAACTACGATGCGAATACCGTCCTGTGCAGAAACGTTGGTGGGCTTGGCAAGCAATTCGCCAGGGAATGCGCCATATCGCGGGGCAATAGAAGTAGGAATGGTGAACCTGATGCCGTCGACTTCGGCATCGTGCTTCAACTCGCCAAGGTATTCAATCTCGACAGCAATCTGGGCGCCAGCTGGCACGTTGCCAATGGTTGTGGTGAAGACATCGCTTGCGTCAGGGAGCTGCTCTAAAAGGCCGGCTGTCTGGCCCTGGGCAACAGCCTGGTTGTACGTTTTGCGGGCAGCAGTCTTCTCCTGAACGACACCACGAATGACACGGTCGTTGTTGATGGTGCAGGTAAAGGCAACTACAGATACTCCGTCATAGAGGGGGAAGGTGTAGCGAAGCTCAGGGATGAGTGCAGTCGATGAGGGATTGACAAAGGTTTGGGTGAGAGTTGTCCGAGATGTCGATGCAATGATGCGAGCGTGCACCGACTGGGAAAGTGTGGGAAGGTATTGCCGCGCGTGTTTCTGATGGCGATGCGGATCGATGTAGTAGAGACCGCAGATGTGTTGATATGTAGGCTGAACCCCAAACAGACCGGGTCCGCCACTGGGATGGGGTTGACCAAAGAGCATGATGAGGGTAGGTTCGTCGGGTCGATTAGATTTGGTATGATGAGAAAGGAAGACTCGTCAGGACGGCTAGCCGTGAGATGCAGAAGATTGAGCAGCTTTCTGCTGGCTGCCGGGAATGTCCCACTTGGTATTGTTGACCGAGATGCCCCTGTTAGTCGTCGTGTACCAGGAACGTCTGGATGAATATGCGCAAAGGGATAGGCGGTGATGAAGTTTGGTGTAAAGTTGAGATGGATTGGAGTAAGAAGAAGACCAGAGACACAGAGACCTGAGAATCTGAGGATTCTTATATGCATCCATCACCAGAGGCAGGACCATTTGTTGGCGGCCGCTCCTTCTCGGTCGTTCGTCAAGCGTCACCTAGTGCTGCCAAAGTACCAAAGGCAATTGCAGGCAACAGCTCCCTACTTCAAAGAGCCAATCACCGCTCGCTTTGAGACAAGATGAAAGAATCTCATTGGCCAAGGTGATCAGGTCGAAAGCCGCCTTTGGTAAGCAACGTGGACGCTAGTAGGGGGATACAGGGATTTACAGGGGCACTCAGTGACTCGCAGGGGTAGCTTCGCCCCATAACCGGCTGCCATCTCCACTTTTGTCCGCCAGAACGTTGTGCGCCGCTGCGTATTCTGCCCCAGGCTGACTTTCCACCACCAAGCAAAGCCAATCAGACCGTCTCCTCTGCTACCTGCTTTGTAATGCGCTCTCGCGCATCTTGCTCTTTCAACTTCATCTCTGCCTCTTTCGTCAACATTTCTTTCATTCTTGACCTCTGATTCGCCAATCGCGTTGTGTAGCTGCCCAGGCTCCCAGTTAAGCATAAACCCATGTGGTTGCCTGACAGGTGAATCAAAGGATGACTCATCCAGCGCAGAGATGAGTCCTGCAGCTTGTTCTTGACGCTCAACAAGGCAGCCAAGAAAGACATGACGCTGCTCGAGACTTTTGGTATCTTCTTTCAAGCACAATCAACCCCCCCATTAGCTCTTATTGACTCATCTTATACTAGGTATCATTATCATCACAACAAATCCAGAGTCTTTATCCGCCGAATCCTAGGATATGCCTCTCCAATTCTCCAAAATCCCCCAGATCTTGACCAGTCAGGGCTAGATCCTGGTTGTGGTAGATCGAGTTCCAATTATACGCATCTTCGGGCAACAGGTCAGCCATCCCTTCCGTTTGGTCAAACGCCTGCGAATCCTCAGCTCCTGGGGCGGGTTGCATCCAAAGATACGAAATATCGTTCCACAAACTCGAGTCCAGTAGACTCCTCGATCCCAGTTGGCTCGCCCTGCTACTCCCCGACGGTGTCAGCCCCCCTCTCTCCACCGAACCTCGCATCGTCATATCTCGGAAGCTCTGCTGACGTGATCTGGCATCCTCACCGGCACCCTTTTCCTCTGACGACGTAGACACCGCCAACGTTGCGGGCGACTGCTGCTCGCCGCCGGGTCCCGATCCTGTAGCCACGGGGGGATTTGACCGAAACTCGCTCGGGCTGTTCTTGGGAATGTCCAGAAACGTGGACAGATGGTCTCGCATCCGCCTGACTTCTCTAGCCCGCTGGAGCGCAAATTCGTTACCGCGGCCCACGAGGTAGTCGAGAATCTCCAATGCTTCTGATAATCCTGGGCTGGGTGCCAATTTCTGACTCTCGTCGCAGGTCGAGTCGATCGTCATCGTCAGGATCATGATGAAAGCAGCCGAAAAGATGGCGTCCAAATCAAAGAAGCCAAAAGTTGCTACACCGCAGTCATTGATTAGTCGAGATTCTAGAAATGATTTTGTGCATCGGGAATCGCTTCGACGTACTTAAGATGTTCCTCTTCCGTAGCAGCATCAGGACCTCCAACAGTCGACGGGCCGCTTCTGAACACGTTCGACTCAATCTCCCGAGTGGCGAGGATCCCAAGCTTAGACTTCCTCCACTTTCCTCGTCAAATATCAGTTTTGAGACGTGGAGCATCACAGGTCGTATCGTCAGTAGAATCGCCTATACGAGTCATTAGCGATGTCGAGGCACAATGCTGCAGAAACAACCTACCTGGTATAGCATCATGTGAAGATACGCCGATGTTCTCAAAGATACGTCTCCTTCCATGGACGGCATATCTGACAGCTTGGGCGAGAACTCGCCTGGGATCTCCTTGGCAATCCAGTACAATGACTGGACAATTTCTTGCACGTTTGGCACGAACGTCTCCTCTGGGTGGTTCCCTGGCCCGTAAATCGCTGACAGTGTTAGCTTCAACCCTCTTCTTCCAATACGGCAGACCTCTCACTTGATAGGATCCTTCCAGTAACCCTCGCGATTTTGATATTGGTTCGCAGAGGGAGCGCTGGCGGGAAGCCTGGCGAGTCTGTCGGCATATCGATTTCAATAACATCGTCAAGAATCCCAGCAGGGTTGCCAGTTGCTGCCGCGAGTCGTCTGCACACCACGTTAGCTCATCCATCTCGAGCTCCTCAGCGGGTCGTTCCTCACCTCTCTTGCATATACACAGTCCACCAGAGACGGTTCAGATGCACCTTTTCCGATTGTAACAAGTGTTGCGTCCCCGACTTGCGATGATATCCATGCGTCGTGGCCAGCCGAAGGGCTGAGCTGATCTACGCAGTTTAGCATCCCCACAACAGTACCAAGAAGACAGGGACAACTTACATAGAGATACGCCTCTTCCTTACGATTCGCATTCTGCAAATATACCGCCGCCAAAGCATGAATCTCGATGCCCAGCTTGCCCAGCCCATACAGCTCGCTCAAACTCGGCAACCTAGCCTGTACGTGCGCAAACATGCTCGCCCCAGGAACCGGCAAGCCCCCGCCCTTCTCCTCCCCGTCGAAGCCACCAGAGAAAAGCTTCCCAATGGCAAAGACAAGCAGCATCTCGAGATACCACGGCATTTGCACCTGTGATATAGCCTGTGACGTATCACCCAGGTTGGCGTAGAAGAAGGCGAGGCGGTCCGAGAACTCGCGCGTATCGATGTGATGCTGCGTGTACCCGATGAAGAAGGTCATACTCTCGAAGAGACGGCGGGCTTCGTCTTCCGAGGGGAGAGTGATGCCTCCAGCACCGGTGGGACCATCGTCGAGGGGTTTGAGTGTTGTTGTCTGGGAGAGGGAGCGGGCAGGTGGTTGCATTGGTTCTCGACGGCCTAGACGCGGATGTTCCAAGAGGTTTTGCAGGCGTGAGCCAAAAGTTTGGCTTGAGCTCAGCGATGAATCTGCCGCAATGGCTGGTGAGTTCTTGTTAGCACTCGTTCCAAGGCATGTTCAACAAGCCATGGACTCACCAGAGCCTGGGGAAGACGCTACGTGGTTGTTGCCATGGCCTCCAGATGTTGGATTGGTCGGTGCCGGCGACGTGAGTTGATCTAATGCTAATCCCAGAAGCGTTGAAGCAGCATTCACCTGCGTCGCGTTATCCGTAGGTGTCTGCGCCGTCGCCCTCGTCGGCGGCCGGTCTGGCGACCCTGCTTGCGTGGTTTGTACTCTGATAGTCTCACTGTCTCGTGCTGCAATGTTGTCAATATTTCGAAATAGAGGATATCAATGCAGCGTCACGAACATAGCGTCGGGCCGAGGCTGAACCCCTGGCCTTCATACCGCGCGAGCCTTTCCTGGAGATCTTGAATCCTCCTGTCAGAAATCGTCAGCATACAGAAGTACATGTGCGTAGATGTACACTTTGGAGCATCGCTGAACTCACGTAACAGAATAGACCCGCTTCTTCCCCGGCTCGGGGAACTGGCACTCCAGATCTCGCTTGCTACAGTACGTGCACGGCGCCTCGCCGGAGCACTTTACCTTCTTCCGCCTGCACGTAAGACATCTGTCGGATACCCGAAATCATTAGCGACTGCCAATCGAACAACTCAATGCATGCAAGGCCTAGAGAGCAGATGAAAAGAATGGGTCTCAAAAGGTCCAGGCTCACACAAAGTGGTGCTCCCGAAGTGATCGAGACCGGGTGCGCGGACGGGCACGGGGGTTGGAAGGGTCTCGGAGACTCACGCCGAAATGGTCTTGGCCGCCTCGCGACTTACGCCGTGTCTGCTGCTCATTGACAGCCGTCTCGGTGACGAATCCATGATACTCGGTTTCTTGAAATGAGACGGATCCGACAGCGCGATTGATGATTTCTGACCGAATTGGCTTTTGCTTGCAGTCGTTGTCCCCGAAGTCTTGGTTTGGCAACTTGCAAGTGAGGGGAGGTACGTGCAGGTGGAGGGGGGCGGGAGATAAGGGAGGCTTCGCCGAACCTCGGAGCGGGAAGCAGCACGCCGGCACTAAGGCTTATCGCCCTATCGCTGCTACCTTATCATTGGAAGTGGCTGTCTTCGTATTGATTCAAATTAGACGTAGTCGCATTGCAAAGCTCATTTCAAAATCCATACTCAAGATACAATGTGAAGACCCAAATCATTCAGTCAGTTTCTTATTTCTGGCCACCATGTCTTGGCCGTTGTTCATGGCTACCTCGGTCCGGCTTAGACAGACTTCATATTGGGTTCAGTCATACGTGTAACCCTTCAGTCCGAACCAACGTGATAAAAGAGCCCCCGTCAACACCGCCATGCAGAGCAAGCCTTCACCTTTTTCTCAATACCATTGGGAAGGAATTGCCATCGCAAAGGCTGACTTCATAAATGCCGTTTACTGTCAAGGGCAAACAGCACTTTAAATACAGAATCGACGGCCAACTTCGCGGGGCCGAGATACTGCGGAGCTCATCCGGAGCTACGCCTAATCGGGCAAGTAGCCGAACCGAAACAGAGGCAACATCATCAAGACTTTCGCGCGCCAACTCCGTCAAACGACGAAGAAATGGCCCATTGAACAACAGATATTGCGTTCTAGTTTCCGAAAACAGCAGCAAGAAGAAAGCCAAGGCCTCACTTACTGGAGCTTAAGCGTTTTCAATCGTTTCCTCGCCAGATGAGCCGATTGAAGGCCTCACCTTAATTGCGAGCATACCTCAAGACTAACATCACAGGACAGACGAGTTCTAGATGACGAAGCTATATTCTATAGCCTAATTGATTGTTAACAAAATAGTTTCTGGCTACTTGAACTAGCCTATGATGGACAACATTAATCAGCGAGCCAAGGGCTCAAGTCCGCCAACAGCCTGCACCTCTCCCCCCGTCCATCCTCCCACTTATCCCCATCAACAACATTCAACACAGCCTCCAGCGGCGGGCTCCCAGCATCCCCAGGTGCATAGCTAGTAATGTTCAAACTCACCATTCCATCAAACGAAGACACCTTACCAACCGGCACTCCACCAGTCATATTCGCATTCAACATACTCGCAACTCCCCTTCCACCCTCCTTCCACTGCGACCATACCGTCGCGCTTCCTCCACTCCCACCAAGAACCAAGTCCTCCCCACGCGTGATAAACTGGCCCCAAGCATTTTGCAGTGCCCGCCGCATAGGCATCGTCACCGCCGTCCCGGGCGTATCAACCGGCGCAAGCAACACATCAACAGCCGATCCGGACCCAATGTCGACGCCGTGGTACGCCGGCGGCACACTATACTGATACCGCCACGCTCTCGCCCCGTCCTTGGCAGTGTAGGCATTAGCAAGCCAGTGCGAGGGGCACACAAAGGTTGCCTCGGCGTAGAAGTTGTTGGCGACCTGCTGCCAGCCCGTAGCGTAGTCCGAGACCGTTGTCGCGTAGGGTGATTCGAGGCCGTTGGTGCTGAAACCCGGGTCCGTGTTATTCGCATCCTTCGAGTTGGCTGTGAGAAATGCCTCGTGTTTCTGCGCGTAGGTGGCAAGAATTTCCGACACATTGCCCGCCGAGAGCGCGGGGTAGTTGCTCTGCAGAAACGAGACAAAGTGTGCCTGGGTAGTAATGTTCTGCCACGTGAAATACGGTCCTTCATCCGCGACGTTACTGGTGAGGACCCGTCTCCCGTTGACGCCGGCTTTGCCCTGGGAGAGCTCCTGCGTGAGGGTATCTCTGACGAGTTTGCCATCGATGACGGGGCGCCATTCCCACTGGCCGTAGCGGCCTTGGGTGCTTACCCAGTCGCTTGCGTTTTGAAGCGTGAGAGAGTCTGCTTTCTGCAAGCAGGAAAGAAGGGACGAGGATGTGGTGTTTGTGGAGCAGCCGATGCGCTCTGCTAGGCTTTTGTATGCTCTTGTCGGCCTGTCTCCATCGTGTTTCCTATTGCGATATGTCAGTTCTTACTCTTACAAATAACTCTGGTTAACGGAAAGGGGGATCAAACTCACGGCAAAGTGGTCAAGTACGGACTACTCGCAATGACACCATCAAACAACCCAACAGCCTCATCACTCGCAGCCAACAACAACGCCCCTCCCGCACCAGCAGACTGTCCCGCGACCGTTACCTTCCTCGGATCGCCTCCAAACTTACCCACGTGCGTCTTCACCCACCGCAACGCGTGAACCATATCCCACAGCCCAGCATTCGCGACCCCGCCGCCTTTCACAAGCTCCTCCGACGAAAGGAACCCAAATGCACCGAGACGGTACTGGATCACGACCGCCACATAGCTATTGTTATTCGTCGTGATTTGCGATGAAAAGTCAAACGAGGACGCTGAGTCGAGGTTATACCCGCCGCCGTGGATCCATACCACCACGGGAAGAGGTCTCGGCAGGGCCGTGGCGCCGGCGGGGGCAAAAATGTTTAGAAAGAGACAGTCTTCGTCGCCGGCGAAGGCGAAGTTTTGGAGGGCGGCTTCTTCGGCTGCTGTTTTGGGGTATTGGAGGGAGCGGCGGGCCCATGGGCATCGCGGCGGGTTTGCTGTGGCCGGGGTGAGGGTGTCGTTGGTTGTGTTTGTGCCGCTGGGTGTTGGGTCTTGGGGGAGTTTCCAGCGGAGGTCGCCTGTTGGAGGGGCTGCGTAGCGGATTCTGGGGTGTGGTTAGATCGTGAAGGAAATTGATTGTTTGAGGTGGTGTGTTTGGGAGAGCTTACCCTCTGAATATGTTGAGATTCAAGGTCGAGTTGAATGTTCCTTGATATTTGGTATATTTCAGGTCGACTATCGGACCATCCGCAGCGGAAGCTGCGGTTGCCAGTAAAGGCACGGCGATGTGAAAGAAAGAGTGGAATCGCATCGTTGTAGCTGCTCCGATGAGTCTGGGCTAAAGTAGGTAGCGACTGAGTAGTCCGGGCAATGATGTGTGCCTCAAGTGAGATATCACCATATCAACGGAAGATGAGACGATACGAAAGCGACACAAAGAAGGCGACCACAGCTGCAGGAAGAACTACCTAGGGAGACAGGCAATTGAAGTTTTACCCCAACCGCGGCGTACGGACACCGGCGCGTTCGGGTAAGTCCATGATGATGGACGTGGGGAACACGCAATAGAGTTTGAGTAGCTCATCAAACGCACTACAACCCCGGCCAGAATGTGAATAACTCAAATCCGCCCGACTCATGCGTTTACCGGTCCCAGTTTCCGCCTTACTTTGTGTAGGGCGGGGAACGGAACAGCACGGCAACTAATGGGTCTTCGTTTTCCTAGAAGCATAGAGTATTCCCAGTGCCGGTGATGAATCTCGGAAGGTGGGGGACTTCATTGTTATACTAAGCTCTTGCCATGCATACCGGTATTTGCACATATATTAAGACTACGGATACGGAAAACTGTTCTTGGAATATTGTGTCAGCCAGTTGATGGCTTCACAGCTCAGCCAGCAATCGTATGGATTTGAAACAACCACATATGGCAGCCTGTCCTCTCCATCTATTGAGAGAACACACAGGGATTCCAGGAAATTCAGTACTTCTAACAACAACGTAACGCGCAAAGACACCACGTGGATCTGAGGCAGTCAGATGCTGTAGACGTGATGAACAATCGTCACATACAGGATGCTGCATACTGGAGATGAGTTCATATGCAAGTCAATGAATGATGCAAGATTATCCGTGTAAAAGACCTAATGACCCATGACAATCCCTTCCAACCCCATCAGCATACCCTGTGTCTATGATACCGCAACTCCATGCTCAGTGCCAAGTATCCGTATTCCCGACTTCAAGTATCCGAACTTATCCATCCATACTCCCATCCAATGTCATGCAAAGGAAACCCCATCGTTGAGCGTCTGATAACACTCACGCAGCTCAATAATCGTAATCCGGAGGTAGTCTAAGAGCTGTCACCAGGCGAAGAGGGAATAGGCTGAGGCCGTCCCTGGCTCGCGCTCTTACGGGTATCAAACATCCTTGACACCCGATTCTGGTGCAACGTGTGTGCCGTCTCGTGGATCTTGTTCAGATCATAGTGACGGATCATGAAGCTCGCGAAGAAAGCAATCACCGCAAGCGAGACGTACACGCCGTGGACACCCTTGAAGCCGAAGGCATACGACTCCAGGACAGCATCCTTGAATGTGCCGTCAGGCAAGCCCTTAATGACGAGAAGATACTCCTCGGCGCGCTGAGCGATATCTTGCGCGATACCCTTGCGCTCGAGCTTCATAGCCATGACGTTCTGGAACGTGGTGGAACCGACATTGACGCCGATGGCGCAGCCCAGCATGCGCAGGAAGAGGTACATGGCCGCGGCGTGACCCGAGTTCTCGGGCTCGACGATGGCACCCGTGACGAAAGTCTGAGCATTGAGGACAAAGCCGTGGCCGATACCGCCGATGGCGAGGGTGACGATGTGCACGGGCAAGGAGGTGTCCACGTCCCAGTAGATGAGGAGGCCGGAGGCAATCGACATCAGAGCCCAGCCAATCCAGATGGACCAGCGGTACGCGTTGAAGCGGGAGACCAGGATGCCAGAGATGATGGAGCCTGGAAGCAGGAGAAGGGTGACGGGCAGCATGGCTACACCGGCCATGGTAGGGCTGTACTGCGAGACGGACAGGAAGTAAAAGGGGATGTAGTACAGCTGGCCGTAGAGCTGCAAAGAGGTTAGCCAATGATCACTGGAGATGTGTTTGTGGGATGCACGTACAATGAAGCCCTGAAGAAGGCCGAGGACGTAAACCGTGATGGCGCTACGGTCGGTGAAGAGAATCTTCTTCAAGAACGGGTATCTCGCATAGCTGTGCTCGTAGAACAGAGTGACTGTCAAGCCGGCAGCGCCAATGAAGACGGGCACCAAGGTCTGCGCGCTGCGCCAAGGGAAGTCGTTGCCGCCCCAGGAAATACCAACGAGGAATGTCACCATGGAGCCGATGAACAAGAAACCTCCGAGCCAATCGACACGCTTAAGCTTCTCGCTAAAGGTCGCCGTAGGAGGCTTAAGGGTCAAGAGGATAGGGATGGCGAGCAGGGAGTAGCCACAGATTGGGAAGTTCAGGTAGAAGATCCATCTCCAGGTAGTGTGCTCAGCAACAGCACCGCCAATGATGGGGCCGGTGAGGGAGCCGATAGCCCATGCCATCTGACTGTAGATGATGTCAGTCATGGTTGCGTACGCAGGATAAATCGTTACTCACATGATACCGTAGTACTTGGGGCGGTGGCGGAGTGGCACAATGTCGGTAAAGACAACCAAGCTGAGCACGTACATGCCGCCGGCACCGATACCCTGAATAACACGACCGCCGAGAAGCAGCCCGATGCCGTTCGACACGCAGCAGAGGATAGTTCCAACTGTGAAGAATACCAAGCTGCCAATCAGAATGATGGGTCGGCCAAAAATGTCACTCAGGGAGGCCAAGAAAGGCATTGCGACTGCGCAAGATATCAGGTAGGACGTGCCAACCCAGAAAGCTTGCGTAGATGTTCCCCCAATATCTTGGATGATGGACTGCGCGAGAGAAGCATGTAAGCGTCAAGCCACCAAAATACCGTCTCTACCAAGGCCGACTTACACTCAAAGATGTGACAATCACGTTCGCATCCAAGGCAATAACGAACGACATGATGGACAACGTCGTGATGATGACCATCTGGTGCTTGGATGGTTTCCATTCTGGGATGCTGTCCGACTCGTCGACAAGCATGGGATCGGAGATTCCTCGCTGATCATGTTCCTTTGGCTCCTTGATGGCGGTATACGAAGCGGCGGCCGGATCGTACGCCGTCGAAGAGTAAGACGACGTCGAGAGGACGCTGTCATGTTGTTGTCGGTAAGCCATCTTGGGCAGTTGTGCTCAAGACTAATGCCCCACGAAACTTGCAAAGAATATCGAGAGAGTTGACAAGCTGAAGACGGAGGAAGCAGAGAAACGAGAACTGCAGGTGCTCGCCCTGCTTTAGTATCTTGGGCAGCACATGCCCTGTCGGTGCTTGCTTCGCATCCCAAGGTGGCAATCAAGCTCGAGGCCCAGCTTGCCGTGCGTTGGCATCTGCATCCCACATTGGCGAGGTACATAACGGCTTACGTCCCACCGCAGACTGCAGAAACTTGAGCCTCAAAGAGTATCACAGTTCGGGCCATAAAGGGCAGTCGGGTCCTCGGGGGGGGAGTGGTTGACCACCGTCGCCGGGCTACAAGCCTGCTTGCCTACGGCTCGGCGTGTGCTTTGCTGTCGTCCACACTAACTTCTCGCTTGTTTCATTGGTTTTCGCCGCGCTGATCAGTGCGGAACAACGTCCTTTGATACCACATGGACAGTCCAGGGCTGAACTGATATGGGAGGCGGTAGCTTTGGGTGTTTGGGGACGTACCGCCGATTCTGGCATAGGCAATCACAGAGTTTGAAATCCTGGTCCCAAGGCCTCGGACTTTGGTCACTGAGCGCCTGGTAGGATCCTAGAGATTGAGTTGCTCAGGGGCTGTGATAAGATTAAGCTGATATCTTCACGAATAACCGTTGTCAAGTTGTTCCCACATCATCTATGGCCAGCTTTGTCTGTAAATTCTCTTGTTTGTCCGGTAAAGTGCTGACAGCGACATCAGCACACCTTTGTCGACAAGTATAGTGCTTCTTCCGTACCGTGACGGCTATCCTCAAGCTTGCTACCCTATTCAAGCCGGCGAGTGTAAGCACGACATTGGAATTAAACGCCGGGGGACGCGACCTCGAAAAGTTGGACGGGGCTAGCCCGGGTAGAGGTGTCGTACCCGTACCCGACAGACGGGACCCGTGCGTGCCTTGTTGGTGCATGGTGGTTTTAAGCTATCAAGTGGCGGTGCTTCATCGCGGAATGTCTTATCGGAAAGTCGGCCTAGACTGTTATTCTTCTGTCTCTGATATCAGACGATCGGGCCGGGATCTCGAACAGACAGTCTTGGAACATCCCAGCCGCATGGGACTACCGGCAAAAGTGAGAACTGATGGCATGTGCCTTTTCATCGAACTTGGCTTGGGCCATGGATGGCGGGTGACTGAAGAGAGCGGGCGGTCGCTTTTGTGCGCTTATTCGACGATAATGTGGCTGCCTAGATGATATTCTTTTGGGTAGATGCGGGTGAGTCGTACAAAGAAAGGTAAATGAGGGTGTTTGGGTCTGTTGGTTGGTAAATATTGATAGCGGGCGCCTGTCAAGCGCAAGAGGCGGTCAGCTTGCAGGTTGACGTGCTGCCCAATTCCCCCATTCAAGCTGAGGCTCGCTTCGTCCACTTCTGGCGATTCGCAAACGTGTTTGCTGACTGTGGATGCCCGACCATGTCGTCTCACGTCATTGAAAACCAGAAACGAAACACAGCCACTGATACTGCTTGAGCGAGAGGATCCTGCAGAAAGTCCTCCGTTCCCCGGTCGCCAATCGCTTGGGCGCGCGCGGCAACATGCACCATTAGCCTTCGATAGCCACACGTATGATATTGATCTGATGTTCGGGCGCCCGGTCACTAGTCGAGGTTTAGCGCTGTCAGAGGCGGGCTTTATACTCAACTGACACTGCATGACTGCTGACCTCTGGGTGAGAGAGCTGTGGTTTACTCCGTCCCGTGGCATATATTCTTCTGATGACTGGGAATGTCTCATAGTACAAATGTATAGATTGATTTGGGGACGTTGGTGAAATGAACTGGAAGCCTGATCATCAATGTTGATGGGTGAAAAGCCGTTGGGTAGAAGCTCATGGTCACGGACAAAGATGATTCCAAGGTCGGTGCGCAAAGCTTGGCGAAAGGCATTATCAGATGAAAAGCAACGCCATGCCAGTGCGTGCAGACAGGTTTCATTACGGATTGAGGTGAGTGTCAATGGGGCCGGCGAGTGCGAGGCGCAGTCTGGTATTTACTGCAGTCGCTGAATGGCGATAGAGATGCAGGTATGTTCATTCAGGGTAAGTCGGAAACCAACCGACTACTACGCGGCAGAGTTCTCAACTCTAGCCGAACCATTCTTCTCTCCTTCCGAGGCTGAGTTGGTCCAGTGGCGGAATTGTCGTGCCGGTAGCCTCAACTCAAACATGCGATCAATTTCAGCCGGCGTTCGTCCCTTCATCTCAGGTACCAGGAAGAAGGCAATGACAAGCCCGAGAGCACAAAGACCAGCAAACACGAAACCGGTCTTGGCTTTAAGGTTGCCTTTGTCGGGGTTGAAGACATATGGCAACACAAATCCAAAGATGGAGTTGTTTGCTCCCGCGGTAAACCAACCGATAGCTTGGGCTTTGGATCGCAAATGCAGCGCAGAGGTTTCGGCACCGACAACGTGTGAGGCTGGCCAAACTCCTAGACCCGCCACGATAACTACCGCTATCAGTGTCATGGATGTGTACCTGTTGCAGTTAGTCAAGGCGCTGCTCACGGCCACGGGGCCACCGTTAACGTACCATGGTATCACTGGACCCGACCAGCAACCCGCAATTCCCATGGCGGTCCAGATTATGGACAAGACGGATAGCGTGCTTAAGATTAGCCGCCTACGTCCTATCCTCGAGAGGACCCATACGCTCATGATGTTGGCAATCAACCCGCAAACGAGACCAAGTATAAGAACGATGACGCTCAGGTTGGCTTTCATGCCAACGACTTGCACGAAATAACTCGACTTTGACAGCAACGTCAAACCAAAGATGTTTGGTAATGAGTTGGAGAACATGACGATCAAGGTGCGCCTAAGATTGACACCGCGGAATGAATCAATGTAGGTCGCATTGGTCAGTCGCCTTTCATGCTCGATGTTCCGGCGGATGGTGTCGAGAGTGTCCTCAGGTTCGGAACCCGCCGGATCCAGCTTCATTTGAGCTCTGTGAGCTTGGGAATTCTTGTTCCTCCGAATGAGATATGTCGGGCTTTCCGGGATCAGGAACGCCATCAACAATGGAAGGGCAGAAAATGGCCATTGAGATGCAAAGCAGATGGTGTACCCATTGGCCAGGTTGAGGCACGCGAATATGACAGCGGCACCAGTCAACTGGCCAAGCAATGTGAAGATTGGGAAAAAGGCCAGGAGCGGTCCTCTGAGATTCGGCGGCAGGATTTCCGACATGTACGTCTGGGAAGTCGTCATGACCATACCTATGGCCCCTCCTTGGAAACCTTTGCCAGCGAGGAAGATGATTCGCCGGGTATGGATATCAGGGGAGAGGTTGGATACGAAGCAAACAGCCACACCAATGGCCGACAGAAAGGATCCCAATGCAAGCGACGCTCGACGACCATATCTGTCTTGAAATACACCTCCAATCAAAGAGCCAATCATGGAGCAGCCTGGACTGACGAAGTTCCAAAGACCCAGCCAGAGTGAAGGCAGAATCCACTTTCCATTGAGCTGTTGACCAAAGTCATGCCTGGCAAGGTTCCATTAGACCAATGTTTCAATGCTAAGGGCAGAGAGCCTCAAAGGGTGAGGAAACATACTGAAAGCTGGGCATTGCTGAAACTGTGCCAACAATGACATAGTCGTAGCCGTACATCAGGATGGCGGAAGTCATGCCGATACAGTAGAGAACGACGCGACGCCACTTCTTGATCGACTGCCACAGAGTGAGGTGGCCATGTTGGTTGGTTTCTGGTTCCGAATTATTCGTACTTGCTATGCTGTTCACGGCGTTCAAGCGGCCGACGTTCACAGACTTGACACTCATGTTATTCAGATCGCCAGTGTCATATCTCGTTGGCGGACCCGAGCGATTGGGTGAGGCTTCGACGGTTCTTCGGGGCTTTGTGAGGTGCTTGTGATGGCTTGCCTTTGGTCCAAGGACTGCCGACAATGAGATGGGTGTTGGAGTCGATGGGAAGCGTATTTAGAGGGTGAGGGAGCGACAGCATTTTCATTCAAGAGAGTAGCACGCTTGTTGCGCCCACGACGCTGGCCGAATACAAGCTAGGCTGGCATTCTAAGCCGCTTCCAGATCTTGGCGACTCTGCTAGGTGTGATCCGCATGTGTCCAAGACATTTCCAGGTTGCATTGCACGGCCGCCAAGAGCATGTATTTGCAACTCAGAGCCCGTGGCGGGGAAAGTTCCTTTGGGGGGTGGTGAGAGCTGCCCAATGATTTGAGGTGGATGAAATTGGCATGCTGGCACCCGCGTTATTGAGACTCGAGAGAGGGGGAATTTCTTCTTTCGCCTGCGACACGCAGAGATGCCGAAGTGGAAATAGAAACGACACGGGTCGAACCGGCCAGCTGACGAGGAGGGAAACCGTCCTCTGTCCACCGTCCAGCAGGTCGTCTGCAGGTTGCGTTTTCCTCGGCTTATTACGGTTGACGAGGTCGAGAGCGAATGTTCGATCTTGCTGGCTTGCTTGTATGGGCTAGCCGTCAATTGTCGGCTCGAATGCGAAGCTTTGCGCCAAATGATCCGGCTTATTTAGAGTTGGGCATTGGCATTTAGGCCTTTTGTTCTCCTCGCGAAGCTTGCGACGGCGCGTCTAAATTCAAATCCGTACGCGGCGCGCTCTCGTGTTCCCGCAATTCGGACGCTTCGCCATATTGTAGACGCCCATGGTTCGTTGGCGACATGCGTGGGGCACTCATCAATCGATATGGCCTCTAGACGAGGAAGATTTGCACATCAAAGTCGTTGAGGTGTCCTCGATGACCCTCTGCTGCAGGCCTAGCGCAAGACATCTTCAAACGCCTTCGAAATCAGTATGCTGAAGCGATCAGCTTTCTAAGCGATAAGAAACGGTTTTGATCTTCAGGGTGGGTTTGAAAATAGTTGGATTTTCGGCCGATAGCATGGAAGATCCATGCCTTCTGCTACAGATCGATTGAAATATATTTGCGAGAGGAGGTCCTGTTCAGGAAAGATTCGAGTGCTCTTCCATCCCTGCAGCACACCCTCTTGAACGAGATACGTCCGTTAGGATGGAGGCGAATCCACTCGAGCGGGCCATTATGCACGTGGGCGACGTGCCAGTGCTTAGGGATGTAAGATGCCGGGGGGCCGTCACGGCGCAAGGACGGGGAATGCCTTCCGGACCCGTCGCCGGCTGTGATCACTGATGATGAGGTGTCAATTCCGACCCCAAAGCGCCTACGATGCCGTGCGTGCGTGGAGAGGTCGTGCTCCAGAAGTGGAATGTGTTGGCAATGAAGGGCTGAGAGAGAGGCACGAGGGCGATTCGTCGAGATGCGAGTGGCTGCTTCAGAGGCTTAGGGGGCTGCGGCCTAGGTATGCTGCACTCATGTTGCACTTGTTGGCAGGATTTTCTCAAGAAGGGCAGCGGCAGCGTTGCCGTGAATGCGCCAAGTCGCAAGTGCTGGTCGCGCGAGGAAGAAAAAGCAAAGATTCATTTGATGGATAGATTGGAGGAGGAGAGAGGAGCTGGATAGGACGGGAGCCTTGAAGCAAAGAGGAGGTACGTACTTCCAATCTGTATGTACCTTACCGGAGGCCGGAGAGATTTTCCCCCTTCTCCTTTCCTCCCGTCTTGGAAAGATCCAATTCGACCGGAACGTACCACCTTAGGTGCCTTACCTAATACCTAAGGGACCTCGGAAATTGGAGAAAAGGAAGGTGCAGCGACAGCTCTGAGAACCTGATGGAAATCGAAAAACACGATGAGGAAGTCACGACGCGATGTTCCTACCTTACCAAAGGTCCCTTCCATTCGAGATCGCGTGGTCTGTGCGTATCGATCAGGCACGGGCCAGGAACCGTCGCGTTTTCATTGACTGTCGAGGCGGGTGGTGGGTCTCGGTGGGTCCAGTTCGTTGACATCACCACTGAGGACGCGGTGATGGCGTCGGCATCGTGCTTTTCTGCATCGTCATTGCCCAACCCCTAGATCAGCGACAGCGGCCATGCAGCGTTGAACTCACCTTTCAACCTTCCTTATCCACTCATCTTGACTACTTCGCTTCGTGTATAGGCCTTATCGAATTATCTCTCATCAATCTACCGCGCCATTGCATGCGATCTGTCTTCGTTGCCATGGCGAGAGCAACCCGTTCAAGTGCTCGTCTGGCCTCGACTGCCACAAAGCCAACAGAGACCCCGAGTGCTACTAATGGCGCAACAAAAAAGGGCCGAACTGTGAAGCAGACTTCGTCGGACAAGGAGAATACCCAACCAGAGAAGAGGAAACGGACAACTAGCAAAGCTGCAAGCTCAACACCGGCCAAGAAGGTCAAGACGGAGGATGCGGACCATACGGCGTCCCCAGATTTCGCCAATGTACCACCCCTAACACCACTCAAGACGGAGGACATCAAATCTGAAAGCCCAGACACGAAAGCAAAAGTCCAAAAGTCTCCGGCGGACTTGAAGTCCAAAAAGCTCAAGGCCTACTCCCAATACGCTGATAAGTCACCCTTTCCCGACTTCCCGCACCCGACACCGGACGAGTGCAAACTGGCCCACCGCATTCTGGCCAAATTGCACGGAAAGCGGGAACGCCCTGCCGAAGTCAAGGCATCTTCAACCCGCGCCGGCTGTGGCGACTCGCCGTCGGTTCTCGATGCTCTGGTCAGGACCATCCTGAGCCAGAACACGAGCGACACAAACTCCACCCGCGCCAAGAGGAGCATGGACGACGTCTACGGTGGCAGTGACGAATGGGAGAAGATTGTCGAGGGCGGGATCCCCAAGTTGCAGGAAGCCATCAAATGCGGTGGGCTGAGCCAAGTCAAGAGCAAGGTCATTGTCGGCATCCTCAACCAGGTCAAGGAGAAGTACGGCTCGTATTCTCTTGATCATCTCTTCAATGTCAGCAATGAAGACGCGATGCAGGAGCTCATTAGCTTCCAGGGCGTCGGTCCCAAGACTGCCAGTTGTGTTCTTCTCTTTTGTCTGCAGAGAGAGTCATTCGCAGTGGATACCCATGTGTGGAGAATCACCGGTCTCATGGGGTGGCGGCCGAAGAGCGCCTCGCGGGACGAAACCCACGCACACCTCGATGTTAGAATTCCAGATGAAGACAAGTATGGGCTTCACATCCTGCTTGTCAAGCACGGCAAAGTATGCAGCGAATGTAAAGCTGGTGGTAAGAGTGTTGGAAAGTGTGATTTGAGAAAGGCTTTCCGCCATGAGAAGATCAAACGTGAAGAGGAGAATTCTTCTGATCCCAAAGTAGAGGAAGAGCCTTGACGGCAGTTATTATAGGTTATCTCAAAAGGACATGTCTGGAAATAGCTACGTAGATAACTCCCGCGGTTTTTCCAGTCCGATTAGTAACAGGAAGGCTTTAGCTAATCAATATACCAAGGACATTACCACTGTAAGCTATGAGATTAATCCGACATAAACCTTAAGGTGATAGAAATAAGGCCATGAATTATTACAAAAGTCATCTAGGTAAAATAGTTTTGAAAAAAAAAATAGGCCAGGCTTCTCATCTAGGTTGAGTAATACTTGCGGATGCTTGAAAATTGTCGTGATGGCTTCAACCATCCATGGCCTCACCGCATGTCACGTGACCTCGGTTACATAATCACCCGAGGTCCACACTCACTTACACTCTCTATTTCAGGGCGAACCTCGTGCCCATTTCCTACTTTCAATAAATAACCGTTCTCTACATTTAACGTCGATGCCCCTATTTATGACTATACGACAGTTATAAGCCCAGCTCTAACTTAGACCACTAAACCTCTATTAAAAAGTCACTTTCTAGGAGCTACGATTTACTATATCTTTTCTCACACTCAATTTCAACCCCCACCACGCTCACAAAGCCCGTTCCTAAGCGACTATGTCTTCCGAGAAGGCTTCTAAAGCGATTGGGCATAAGCTCAACCACCAACGAGACTGGCCGAAGTAGTACCTCGCTCTACGAGTAGAGGCCCGCTCAAAGGACGTCTAGGACCTACTTGACCCAGACGACACAAAGTCACCCTCGAATCCTTCACTTTTTACTAAGTCTATTCCACCTATTAAGGAATACGTTAAGACACAAAATACCACCCAAGAACAAGCTCACAGAGCGGCTATGGCCGAGTACAACCGACAACTCAATTACTATACTCAGCAAGAAGCCCTAGAAAACAATACCAGGGACAATCTAGCACAACAAGACGGCCTCGTAGAGCAGCCTTCTCTCCCTACGAGGCCTAAGCCAATTACGGCCAACCAAGCGCGTCTTCTTAAGGAATATACCTCTTTCGTCCAACAAACGGCATCCAAGACAATCTCTCGGTCACAAAAAGAGAGATCGTACGAGTCAATAGACCGCTAAATTACCAACTCCGTCATCCAGGACATCCTAGAGAACGCAAAAGAAGAACTTATCGATTCGCCCAACTACTCACTTCGTACAATAATCAGAGTTCTCAAGCAAAAGTACGCCCCGAGCGACTCAAGTTCGCTTACAATCGCCCGAGAGGAATTCAATACGGTCATAAGCAGAGCAAACTCCAACATTAATCCCACCACTTAGATCAAGGATTTCCATTCAGCCTACCGCCGTGCAGTACAGCTCCAGCTACCCGAGGTCCAGGGGACTCTCGCTTCCAAATCCTTCCTCCACGCAACCGCTCGCCGCTTCGCTCCAAACTAGTCCAACCAGGAGCTCACTAATATTATGAAAATAGAGCGAAGGGGCGAGGTAGTACCCGATATAGGCCATTACGCCGAGATATTCGACGACCTCCTACACAAGGAGGCAGTATACAGCAAAAGTCGTGGACAAAACCTTGCA